CCTACCGCCACCCCTACCACCCTCTGCCACCCCCACCACCCTTGTCCCAGTCTTTGGTTCATACCTGTGTAGTATGTACCATCCTCTGCTAGGAGTTTATATCTTTTAATTGCCATACCTTAAATCTGCTAAGCAATCATGGCACCCAGTAGGCATACAAGTGTTGCAGAAAATGGCATGAAAAGGTTTAAGTATTTAAGTCTTAGAAATAACAAAGAAAATAGAGATATTAGACAAGAGATAGCCTGTGGCCATAATGAAGCATCACTTTGTGCACATAAAAACAGTGAGGTAAATATGAGTTTGTGTAATGACTGACTGACTTACTGGCTTGACTGACTTACTGGCTTGACTGACGGACTGAAATGGTGTCTAGAGCAGTTGATGTCTTACCATAAGTTGTATAATGTACTGCGGGGTAAAATAGAACAGAAATCCATTACAGAATTTATGCACACTCCAGTGCAACCATTGACTTCAGTACCGGTACCTCTACCACCCACCTCAGCCCAGTAGGGCCACTGTAAGGTATTGGAGCATGTAGAGACAAGCAAGTAAAAAGGACTGTAGAAAGGTACTTATCGTAATGATGGCTCAAATAATCTTGAGTATATAATTGCCCCAAAGGAGCATATGTATCAGCATTTCATTTTGACATGATGCTGTGTAAAAAACTTACTTTGTTAGGCTCAACGACCCGTGGAAAACTGGGGATTTTGGTAAATCCAAACATGCTGTGCCCTAGCTATCTGCTGTGCAGCCGACCTAACTAGGTGCATAACTGACTAGACTTACCTGGGTATTTGTATCAGACCCACAAGGTTTTCCCTAGCTTGTGGTAGGGAAAGTATCCCGATGTTTGTTGTCTTGATTGAAGTAGTAGTGTCTCACCGTGCACTGTCTCTGAAGATTGTTCGCAACATTCTGTTACACTACACCAGGATCAAGATTAGTTTTTTTTTTTTTTGTGATAATTTCACAACAGGAAGATAGTTACACTCCACTGTAATAGTTCTGCCACGAGTTGTGAGATTCTAAGAGTCAAAGCACTGTTCCTCTGTTCAGGAACAATGCTCGCGCAACACACACTTCCCCTTCTACTCCTAAAGCCAGTCTGATTTCTGCCCCGTACTTCGCCCTGGGGTGCGGCCCTAAATTGCTGACTTCAGCATATTTCCCTTCGAGGCTTTGTGACTATGCTCTTGTACACGCTGCTACTGCATCTGTTTCCAATTGCTGTCGATCAGAAGCAAGATGCCATTTGCCCTTTGAGAGGATTGTCCCTTGGGGGCCTGAAAGGGGGTTATTGGAGCTGATCCCTCCCCCTTTCTGGAGAAATTTTCTCCACAATCATTCACAAACACCAGCACCCACAATTTAAGGTAAGAAATACAGTGGACCCCCGCATAGCGAACTTAATCCGTGCAAGAGGGCTGGTCGTTATGCGAAATGTTCGCTATGCGAATTAATTTTCCCCATAAGAAATAATGGAAATAAAATTAATCCGTGCAAGACACCCAAAAGTATGAAAAAAAAATTTTTTTACCACAAAAAAATGTTAATTTTAGTACACACAAACTGAAAAAGGCATGCACAATTACATGACACTTACTTTTATTGAAGATCTGGTGATGATTGATGGGATGGGAGGAGGGGAGAGAGAGTGTTAGTGTTTAGAAGGGGAATCCCCTTCCATTAGGACTTGAGGTAGCAAGTCCTTTTCTGGGGTTACTTCCCTTCTTCTTTTAATGCCACTAGGACCAGCTTCAGAGTCACTGGACTTCTTTCGCACAACATATCTGTCCATAGTGGCCTGTACCTCTCGTTCCTTTATGATTTGTCTAAAGTGGTTCACAACAGTGTCATTGTAACAGTCACCAGCACGGCTTGCAATAGCTGTGTGAGGGTGATTTTCATCAAAAAAGGTTTGCACTTCAAGCCATTTTGCACACATTTCCTTAATCTTTGAAGTAGGCAATTCCTTCAATTTCTCTCTCCCCTCCTTTGAACCAGTTTCCCCAGGTCTGGCCTCTTGCTCTTGAAGTTGATCTATCAGCTCATCAGTGGTTAGTTATTCATTGTCCTCCTCCACCAACTCTTCCACATCCTCCCCACTAACCTCCAACCCCAAGGACTTCCCCAATTCCACAATTGATTCCTCAACTGGTATACTACTCCTCTCAGGGTTAGCCTCAAACCCTTCAAAATCCCTTTTGTCTACACATTCTGGCCACAGTTTCTTCCAAGCAGAGTTCAAGGTTCTCTTAGTCACTCCCTCCCAAGCCTTACCTATAAGGTTTACACAATTGAGGATATTAAAGTGATCCTTCCAAAACTCTTTTAGAGTCAATCGAGTGTCTGTGGTCACTTCAAAGCACTTTTGAAACAGAGCTTTTGTGTACAGTTTCTTGAAGTTGGAAATGACCTGCTGGTCCATGGGCTGCAGGAGAGGAGTGGTATTAGGAGGCAAAAACTTCACCTTAATGAAGCTCATGTCCCCATAAAGTCGCTCTGCCACGTCTGTAGGATGACCAGGGGCATTGTCTAACACCAGGAGGCACTTAAGGTCTAATTTCTTTTCAGTTAGGTAATCTTTCACATTGGGGGCAAATGCATGGTGTAACCAGTTATAGAAAAATTCCCTAGTGACCCATGCCTTACTGTTTGCCCTCCACAGCACACACAAATTATCCTTGAGGACATTCTTTTGCCTGAACGCTCTGGGAGTTTCAGAGTGATACACTAATAAAGGCTTAACTTTGCAATCACCACTAGCATTGGCACACATCAACAAAGTAAGCCTGTCTTTCATAGGCTTATGTCCTGGGAGTGCCTTTTCCTCCTGAGTAATGTAGGTCCTGCTTGGCATTTTCTTCCAGAACAGGCCTGTTTCATCACAATTAAACACTTGTTCAGGTTTCAGTCCTTCAGTTTCTATGTACTCCTTGAATTCATGCACATATTTTTCAGCCGCTTTGTGGTCCGAACTGGCAGCCTCACCATGCCGTATCACACTATGGATGCCACTACGCTTCTTAAATCTCTCAAACCAACCTTTGCTGGCCTTAAATTCACTCACATCATCACTAGTTGCAGGCATTTTTTTAATTAAATCGTCATGCAACTTCCTAGCCTTTTCACATATGATCGCTTGAGAGACGCTATCTCCTGCTAGCTGTTTTTCATTTATCCACACCAATAAGAGTCTCTCAACATCTTCCATCACTTGCGATCTTTGTTTCGAAAACACAGTTAAACCTTTGGCAACAACAGCTTCCTTGATTGCCGTTTTCTTGCCCACAATAGAAGCGATGGTTGATTTTGGTTTCTTGTACAACCTGACCAGGTCGGTGATACGTACTCCACTTTCATACTTATCAATGATCTCTTTCTTCATTTCAATGGGTATTCTTACCCTTTGAGGTGTAGGGTTGGCACTAGAAGCTTTCTTGGGGCCCATGGTCACTTATTTTCCACAAACAGCACCGAAAACACTGTAATAATACGAAATATTCCGAGTGTATGCTTGAATGTTACCGCGGAGGCTGGCTGGTAAACAATGGGACGGGCGGCACATGTGAGGCTGGCTGAGGGCGCACATTGGACGCGTCTCGGACGAAGGTCGCTGAGCGGGTTTTTGTCCACTATGCGGGGCAAAATTTTAGCGAACAAAGCGTTCGCTATGCGGATTGTTCGCTATGCAAGGCGTTCGCTATGCGGGGGTCCACTGTACTATTATTTCTGTTGCATTTGTAATCTTAAGCAGTAAAAACAGCATAATACATCATGACAGTGAACTGCAATTGCATATTCACTTTTATTTTTGTAAGATCTTGAGGTTTAAAAAAAAAAGTTGTTTGGCTTTTTTGGGGCTCCCAGGAACGTAACCCTATTTTTCCCACAAGTTCTTCAGTTTGTCTAGCACGGTTTTAACTAAAATGGCGCTTTCAGGAATGTAACTACCATGTTAAACGATGGTCCACTGTACTACCGTCCTGCTTAGTGAGTGTAAAATAGAAACCTGTAATTGTTTTACATGATAGGATTGCTGGTGTACTTTTTCTGTCTCATAACCATGTATGGTTTCAGGTACGTCTTGGTTACTTCTACTTGCACTTAGGTCACACTTCACATGCATGTATAAGCATATATATACACACCCCTCTGGGATTTCTTCTATTTTAATACTATTTCTTGTTCCTGTTTATTTCCTCTTACCTCCATGAGGAAGTAGAACAGAATTCTTCCTCCGTAAGCCATGCATGTCATAAGAGGAGACTAAAATGCCAAGAACAAGGAGCTAGTAACCCCTTCTCCTGTGTACATTACTAATTTTAAAAAGAGAAGCTTTCATTTTTTTTATAGGTCACCCTGCCTCGGTGGGTTATGGTCGGTTTGTTGAAAAAAAAAATGCTCTGTTAGGTAGATTCAAGTTCCGAAGGTAGCACTATGCACTTCGAAGCATTCCAAATAGTCATTTGAATTTTGATGTCAATTTTTTTTAACAATACAGCTATTGAATATGTGATAGTGAATGTTTACTTCTTTGGACCACTCTGCCTAGGTGAGACACTGCTAATGTGGTTAAAAAAAAGTACAGTACTTTGTATTCCTTGAACAATGGTGGAAGTGATGCATCAGTTACTTTCCAGTAAACTGAAAATTGAGCAATAATACTGGTAAAAGATGGATTGGTACCTTATTCTTTTTAACGCACTGGCTGTCTCCCACCGAGGCAGGGTGGCCCAATAAAGAAACACTTTTACCATCATTCACGCTATCACTGTCTTGCCAGAGGCACACACATACAACAGCTAAGATGTCCCCCTAAACAGGAGGTATCCCAAACCCCTCCTTTAGAGCGCAGGCACTGTACTTCTCACCTCCAGGTTATTTTTTTTTTTTAACAAGTCAGCTGTCTCCCACTGAGGCAGGGTGATATATTATATATTATTTACTATATATTATTTAAATTCAACAAATGTTTATTTTTTCTTCAGGTGTTAATAATGACAGTGGATGTGCTGGAGCAAGGCTTGCAAGCAGGAGTCTTACCACTAGATATGCTCAACCTTCTTGTCATTACCGATGCTCACCGAATGGCAACTTCTCCTACTATTGCTAAGGTATAAATATTTTTGTCTTTGTTATTACTATTTGTGCTGCTTAATAGTCGGAGACTCAGCCGCAATAATAATAGATGGAGAATTGAGCCTCCAGACTTCATTTAGTGTTGAGTTGCATTAGGTAGGTCACTGATACGCGAGAGGAACTGGTGGCAACCAAGATTCATTTTTTCACCCTTGTGTTTCTGCTGTTGCTTTTAATGCTCAGAATGGTTTTTGGGACTTAATAAGCTGTTGGAGTGTGAGCAGGGTAATATTTTGCCAAGGGATTCAAGGAAACTGGTTAGCCAGACTTGAGTCTTGGAAGTGGGAAGTACAATACCTGTACTTTAAAGGAGGGGGTTGGGATATTTGCTGTTTGGAGTGACATCTGAATTGTCATATCTACATGTCTCTACAAAGGCGGTGAGTATGTGTGAATGATGAAGAAATTGTTTCTTTCTTTTTTGGGTCACCCTGCCTCGGTGGGAGACAGCCGGCATGTTGAAAAATAAAAAAACACTAGCTGACCCCCACTGAGGTAGGGTGACCCAAAAAAGAAGCATTTTCACCATCATTCACTCTTATTACTGTCTTGCCAGAGGCATGTTGATACTACAGTTCAGATGCCCATCCAAAATGCAAATATCTCCACTTTTTCTTCAGAGTACAGGCCCTGTACTTTCCACCTCCAGGACTAGTCTGGCTAACTGGTTCCCCTGAATTCTTTATTGAAACATTTCACTTGAAGACCCATCTTTTAAGTCTGTAGAAAATAATAAATCTGGTAAGCATAAGCATATGTAATCCAGAGAGTACAAAAACAGGAGGCATGAGGTAAGAACCTGAGTATATCAGGTCAGGTCAGTGTGTGCTGATAGGTAGGTGAGCCAGGGGTCCTGGTAATTAAAAACTTACTTGGTTCTGGGTGATCATGTTTGTAGTACAAATGAGAGCCAATTAACCCTTTGTTTCGGTCGTCTGTATACGTCTTACGCGCCACTGTTTCGGACATACTTATACGCATAATTTCTAGCGGCTTCAAATCAAGCGGGAGAAAGTTGGTAGGCCTACATGAGAGAGAATGGGTCTGAGTGGTGGGTGTGCACCCTCTGAAAAAATCTGGGACTCATTGGTGCATTGTGGGAACACCATCTTGGTAGTCCATTTTCACCATGCCTCGCAGTAAGAAGTACCTCGCTCCTCGGCGGATTGGAGGTCTTTTGTTCCCAAGTGATAGCTCTAACAGCAGTGGAAGTGTCAGTGAAAGTGAATTCCATGGTTTTCAAGTGGGTGTGACTGAAAACAGTGCCCAGGATAACATAATTAGTGATGAAAACCCAGATGACCCACGACCTTCCACCTCTGGTGCTGGGCCAGCTCGTTCACGTTCACCTGTACCAGGACAAAAGAGGAAACTATTTGCCCGTGTACAAGACTCAGATGTGAGCAGTGAAAGTGATAGTGATTTCAAAGCTATTGAAAGCAGTTCTAGTTGTAACAGTGAGGGTGAATATTCCCCAGTGAAGCGGCAGTATATACGGTCTGGTAGTGTGTCATATGCTGTTCCAGGGGGAAGGAGTAAATCTCGGAGCACATCCCATGGCCCTACACCACGACCTGATAGTGAATATGACGATGTTGTTACGATGGGTATGAATGATGTGAATGAGGCAGCAGGTGGTGGTGATAGTGATGGTGGCATGAGTCATGTGGCATCAGCAGCGGGCCACGCTACTACCGACGCTGCTGACTCTGCACGACTACAACCAGCCTCACCCAACCCCACACTCCTACAACCTGCACAACCACAACCACGTTTCATTATCCAGAACCCACCAGCAGACCTCATCTTGGATTGGCAGCAAGGTGACGAGTTTGTTCCCAGTCCCCACAACTTTGATGAAACACCAAGTGAAATATGGCCATCGTGTTACACTTGGGAACAATGCTGCTGAACTGGAATGCTTTCAGTTATTCTTCGATGAACTGCTGATGGACATTATTGCCAGGGAAACCAACACATACTATGAGTACACCATGCATCTGGCAAGACACTAATAGTGTGAATGATGGTGAAAATATTTATTTTTTGGATCACACTACCTAGGTGGGAGATGGCCACTTATGTTAAAGAAAAAAAATAATGTTTCTGCCTTTTTCTTAGGTAACCACTCTGTGCCAGTCCATGTGGTGTGATGACATGTTGCAATGTAAAACATCAATAATGCTTCTACTGCTTTCTTAAGCATCGCTAATGCCAAAACCAATGCTTTCTTCTCCACAGGTGCAAAACTGATTTGGTATTTTTTCAACTTAGTAGAGTGGTAACAGACCATTTGAACGTTACCTTTTTCATCACTTTAAAACTGTGTATATTAGAAGGCTTGTTATTATGCTGTGAAATAAAACCTTAAGATCCACTGATGCATACTTAATATACAAATTGGAAATAGTAAAATGAAACAGATTTAGTCCATCCTGCACAGTCTTCAAGTTGCAGGTTTGCTTAATAATCATCCATGATAGACCATGTATTTTTTTTTATTTCCAATTTGTGGTTCACCTGTGATTTGTGTGTCATGTACTGTGATTTTTATTATTTTTTATTTTGTTTGACATGGTGTATATTATTTTCAGGTTCTAAATAGATGTGGAAATAGCCGAATTCTAGGCATGACTTCTCCTGTATTAAGTCATTCTTGCTCTCCCCCACAACTTGAATCCTTCCTAAACCACCTTCAGAAAGCCTCCTCTTGTAAAGTTGATACTGCCTCAGAAATAGTCACTGTTTTAAGGTAAGCATTGTATAATGTTTTTTTCTGTATTTATCATAATATATTGCAGTTATTTGAACTATCATGGCTTTGCCATGGTCTCGGTATTAAATTTCGAACAGATAACTCTCTTTCTCTATCTATCTCTCTCTCTTTTTTATTCTTTCTTTTTAACACATCGGCTGTCTCCCACCAAGGCAGGGTGGCCCGAAAAAAAATCTTTGACCATCATTCACTCCATCACTGTCTTGCCAGAGGCATGCTTAAACTACAGTTATAAAACTGCAACATTAACACCCCTCCTTCAGAGTGCAGGCACTGTACTTCCCATCTCCAGGATTCAAGTCCAGCCTGCCAGTTTCTCTGAATCCTTTCATAAATGTTACCCTGCTCACACTCCAACAGCACATCATGTCCTCTAAACCATTTACCTCCATTCGCTTCTATCTAACACACTCACGCATGCTTGCTGGAAGTCCAAGCCTCTCACACACAAAACCTCATTTACCCCCTCCTTCCATCCTTTCCTAGGCTGACCCCTACCCCGCCTTCCCTCCATTACAGATTTATACACTTGAAGTCATTCTATTTTGTTCCAGCATCTCTACATATCCGAACCACCTCAACAACCTCTCCTCAGGCCTCTGGATAATAGTTTTAGTAATCCCACACCTCCTAATTTCCAAACTGTGAATTCTCTGCATTCTATTCAAACCACACATTGCCCTCAGACATGACATATACACTGCCTCCAGCCTTCTCCTTGTTGCAACATTCACCACCCATGCTTCACACCTATATTAGAGTGTTGGTATAACTATACTCTCATACATTCTCCTCTTTGCTTCCAAGGACAAAGTTCTTTGTCTCCACAGACTCCTAAGTACACTGCTTGCCTTTTTTTCCCTGATCAATTCTATGATTCACCTCATCTTTCATAGACCCATCTGCTGACACATCCACTACTAAATATCTGAATACATTCACCACCTCCATACTCTCTCCCTCTAATCTGATATCCAGTCTTTTGTTACCTATTTTTTTTTTTGTTATCCTTGTCACTTTACTTTTTCCTGTATTCACTTTTCATTTTCTTCTTTTACATACCCTACCAAACTCATCCACCAACCTCTGCAACTTCTTTTCAGAATCTCCCTCAAGCAAAGAGCAACTGTGACAAATCCCACTTTGTGTTAGATTCTTTAACTTTTAACCCCACACCTCTTGCCAACATCCAAGCATTCACTTATCTTACAACCCCATTTATTTATAAGTATATTGAACAACCATGGTGACATCACACATCCTTGTCTAAGGCCTACTTTTATTGGGAAATAATCTCTCTCTCTCTCTCCTGCATATTCTAACCTGAACCTCACTAGCCTCATAAAAACTCTTCACTGCTTTCAGTAACCTACCTCCTATTCCATATATCTTCCACATTTCCTTCCCCCCCCCCCCCCCCATCCACCCTGTCATACACCTTTTCCAAATCTATAAATGCCTCAAAAACCTCTTTATCCTTATCTATATACTGTTCACCTATATGTTTCACTCTGAACACTTGGTCTACACACCCCCTACCTATTCTAAAGCCTCCTTGTTCATCTACTCTCTTACTCTCCATCTTACTCTTAATCTTTCAATAATAACTCTACCATACACTTTGCCAGGTATGCTCAACAGACCTATTCCCCTATGGTAGATTTCAGTACCTTTATTTGAATTATAAAATTATGATAAATTTACATTTAGTATATTTAATAATAAAATTGTGTGATGGATAATTCAGGTGTTCTTTAAAATTTTCAGTGTCTGATGGCATATACAAATTCTGAGCCGTATTATAAATGAAGGTAGCCTCACAAGAAAGGGAAATTCCCAGAGAGAATCATACACTGGACAACAAAATATGTTTTTTCAGATTTATATTTTGTATCTCAGTCCAAATATTGTAATAGATTACACCAAGGTAGCCTGTTATAATCTGCTCTTGTAAATAAACAAAATGGGTTACACTTGCATGTTCCTGTAAGCAGTAGCATGGCATCCAACTGTGTTTAATAATGTAAACACATTGCATAAACCCACCACACGCCCAAAATGAAATTTTTCTACCAAAACAGGGTGACTCAAAGCAGGAGCCACATCATCAGTCATACAACAGCTGTCTTGCCAGAAGTGTATAATTGTACTTCAAATGTCTCCAGATTGCAACATCCCTTCCTATCCTTCAGATTGTATGCACTTACCAGCTCCAGAACCCAAGACCAGCTAACTGGTTCCCATCAGTCCCTTCATAAATGTTCCCTTACTCATGCTTCTACAATGCATAAAATTCACAAAACCACTCATGTCTAGTCAGTAAAATATAGTATGCTTGCACTTTCCTGCTGGACACTCAAGCAAGCCTCTATCACTCAGACCTTCCTTCTCACCATCCATAAAACTTTTCCTTGAATGTTTTCCACGTATTATATCCACTCGGGATGTATACACCCTCATTGTCATTGTGTATGTTGCTCCATTCTTTCTCTATAACCAAACCATTTTGACACACATTCCTTTATTCTTGGAAAGCAGTGTGTGGTATGACTACTATGCAAAGAATTTGGAATGTAGTGATTAGAAGATGGCGTACAGTTAAATAAAGCGGAGGAGGGGTTCGGGTAATTAGGGCATTTGAAAACAATAGAGCAGACTAGGATAATCAAGAGGATGTATAAATCCAGGGTGGAAGGAAGGCAAGGTAGGGGTCTTCCTAGGAAATGTTGAAGGTAAGGAGTAAAGGAAGTCTTTAAGTAGTAGGGGGATGTGCCTTAGTATTCGCTAATGAGTGCATGTGATATTAAATCAGGATGAGTGGAGAGAGGTAGTTTTAGGAGTTTGACATGCTGTTGATGTGGGGTCAAAATAACATTTTGGAGGGAATTCCAGGAAACTAGAGAGCCAGGCTTAGAGATCAGGAGTTGGGAAATACAATGCATGCATGCTGAAGGAGGGATGTGTATGTTACAGTTTGGAGGGTCGTGTGAACTGTGATGTCTATATACTTCTGTTATGACAGCTATTCAGTGAATGATAGTGAATATTTCCTTTTTTGATTGACACTACCCTGTTAGGAGCTGGCTAATATGAAAAAAGATGTCTTTTGATTTCTATGGTCTTTATTGCTTGTAACTTTTTCTTATACATCTCTTATGTTTTGTTCTAAAAATAATTTTTCTTCCATATTTTGTTGTAAGGCCATATTACAGGAAATGTTTAGTTTCCCCAGGCAGTGTTACCTTTTATTTTTATACAAAAAATATTCATCATGATTAACTCTGTACTAAAATATTTACATATAAATTGGATTTGATATTCATTCCAGCCCTGAAATTGCCATTCTTAACACTTATTTCTTATGAGGTCAGACATTGGAACCAGTTTTGTTTTTATTGAATTTTTTATTGTAATATAACCCTTCTCTATCTACACATCAGGTATGTAAATAAGCCTGTTGAGAAAATTGTGATGTGTCGTGATCCTTCTCCGGATGAACGTTTGGAGGTGGAGCTGGAGGTACGACGTCTAGTAGGGGATGCTCTCAGGTTTCTTGATGATCATCGATATGATCTTGTGGAAGTGTATGGACCAGAGTATCAAGAGTTCTGTGATGGTTTACCTGATCCTAATAATGAACCAAGGCAAATCTTGATGGATTTCCTGGATGTGCTCAATAATTTAGGTAAATGAAAACTTTCAGTAGCATTTTGTTTCATATCCCAGCAAAGGTTGGAAGGAGGGGGTCAAGAAGATTTTGAGTACTAGGGGCTTGGACATCAAACAGGCTTGTGTGAGCATGTTAGATGGGAGTGAATGGAGGCAAGTTGTTTTTATGATATAACATGCTGTTGGAGTATGAGAAAGATAATATTTTTGAAGGAAAAACCAGATAGTCGAGCCTGAGTCCTGCTCTCTGAAGGAAGGTAGGGATATTGCACTATGGAGCCTCATCTGAATTGTAATGTTGGCACACATTTGGCAAGGCAGTATTAAAAAATAGTTTGTTTTACATATCATTTTTTTCCTAGTAATGCTGCTATTTCTGTAGCAATAATTAATGCAGTCCTACTTGATTTGATGTGTATGGAATAGGTGATAGGGCACTGAATGTCATTTAAAGTTTTTGAGGATGGTGAGGCTTAGGTTAGGGTATATAGGAGAGGGGGGAGATAATTTTTCAGTTACAGTAGACCTAAGACAGGTGTGCATGATGACACCATGTTTGTTGAACATATTTATAGATGGAGTTGTAAAAGAAGTGAATAATAGGGTGTTGGGGGGGGGGGGATGAGGTTAAAATATGCAGATTCTCATTAAAAAAATAGTTTTCACAGTTACTTTTTGCTGATGACACTATTCTTTTGGGAGATTCTGAAGAGAGGTTGCAAAGGCTGGTGGACAGATTTGGAAGGGTATGTAAAAGAAGGAAATTACAAGTGAACATAAAGAGCAAAGTGATGAGGGTAACAAAACGAGTTGGAGGGAATATGGAGGAAGTGAATGTGTTCAGATAGAGGGAAATGTATGGGAATATAGTGGTACCAATACTCATATGGATGTAAAGCATCGATTGTGACTGTTGCAGCAAGGAAGAGGCTGGAGGCACCGGAGATGCCATGTGGTGTAAATATGCAGAGAATTTGTAGTTTGGAGGTTAGGATTAGGTGCAGTTACTAAAAGTATTATCCAGAGGGCTGAGGAGGGGTAGAGGTGGTAGTTTGGACAGAGAGATGGAGCAAAATAGGATGATTTGGAGGGTGTGTATATCTGTAGTGGAAGGAAGGCAGGTAGGGGTTGTCTTAGGAAAGGTTAGAGGGAGGGAGGTAAAGGCAGTTTTGTGTGCAAGGGGCTTGGACATCAAGCAGGCATATGTGAGCATCTTAGGCAGGAGTGAGTGGAAACAGATGGTTTTTGGGACTTGACAAGCTGTTGGAGTGTGAGCAAAGCAAAATTTTGTAAAAGGATTCAGGGAAACCTGTCAGCTGGACTTGAATCCTGGAGGTGGGAAGTACAGTGCCTGCACTCTGAAGGATGGGTGTTGATATGTTGCAGTTTGGAGAGGCATCTGAACTGTAATATGTCTCCCTCTGGCAAGGCAGTCATAGACTGAATGATTGTGAAAGTGTTTCTTTTTCAGGTCACCTACCTTGGTGTGAGATGGCCAGTGTGTTTAAAAAAATTTCATTTATAAGAACATGTTCCTTTATTGCTAATGTTTGGCAGTGCTAGTTTTCTATACTGATGAGAATGTGGCAGTTGCTATGGAAGGTTGTCTCTCTAAATTTCTTGAACTTTCGTTTAATTTTTCTTATGTTACTTTGCATTCCCTTTAGAGTGTTGTAATGAATTATTTATCTTTCTGGTTAAAACAAACTCTTGATATAACAGTCCAATAGGAGGATTCTTTGAGTGTCTAATAAATCGGAAAATGTTAAGAAATCATTGAAAAGGCACTAAACTATTCTATATATAATGCAGTAAGCTCTCCTATAAAGCTGTTGCAAATAGTGCCATTTTTTTTTTTCAGTGCAATTGAGAAAGCACATTCAAAATTGAATAGTTAAAAATCTTTCTTTCAACACGCCGGGCGTATCCCACCGAGGCGGGGTGGCCCAAAAGGAAAAACAAAAGTTTCTCCTTTTACATATAGTAATATATACAGGAGAAGGGGTTACTAGCCCCTTGCTCCTGGCATTTTAGTCGCCTCTTACAACACGCATGGCTTACAGTAAAAGAATTCTGATAGTTACAAATATACAGTAATAAACACTGAAGTTAAGTGAATTAAAAGTACAAATTACCTAGTGGAATTTGTATTTCAGATGTCCATTATATTGAGGTCTGTTATATCAAGGATTTGCTGTACTGTACTTGGAATTTTGCAGCATATTAGAAATGAAGTTTTCCCTATGCAAGCAAAAACTGTTTTTGATTTAGTATTTAATATATTTACAGCGAGCTAATTTGTTTGCCTTATAGGGCTGTGGTGTGCTGATAGAGCAGCATTGTATGCTTTAGTTGAAGTGGAGAAGTTGAAGAAGAAAACTGCTTATGATCGTCACTACCTCCTACTCTGCATGATCTTTACAGTTATGGCACGAATAAGGTGAGCTACAGTATTTTGGCATGTATTTCTTGGGATTTGGGATATGTGCTGCCTTATTAGATCTCATTTTGCAACAGGTAGAGAATGAGTAATGGTGAATGTGTTTCCTTCTTGGATCATCCTGCCATAATGGGAAAAGGACTTTGTTAAAAATAAATTGATACGTTTGGGAAGTTGCAGAGGTTGGTGGATGAGTTTGGTTGAGTATGTAAAAGAAGGAAATTAAAAGTGAACATAGGAAAGAGTAAAATGATGAGGATAAAAAAAAATTTAGGTAATGAAAAATTGTATATCATATTGGAGGGAGTATGGAGAAAGTGAATGAATTCAGATATTTGGGAGTGGACTTGTCAGCAGATGGGTCTGAAAAATGAGGTGAATCATAGAATTGATGAGAGGAAAAAGGTGAGTGGTGCACTAAGGAGTCTCTGGAGACAAAAAAAGTTATCCATGGAAGCAAAGAGGGGAATGTATGAAAGTATAGTTATACCAATGCTCTTATATGGGTGTGAAGCAGGGAAAGCGAATGTTGCAACAAGGAGAAAGCTGGAGGCAGTGGAGATGTTGTGGTTGAGGGCAATGCACACTGTTAATATAATGCAGAGAATTCATAGTTTGCAAATTAAGAGGTTTGAGTTACTAGAAGTATTATCCAGAAGGCTGAAGAAGGGTTGTTGAGGTGGTTCGGACATTTAGAGGATGGAATGAATTAGATGACCTGGAGAGTGTATATAAATCTGTAGTGGAAGGAAGGTGGGATAGGGGTCAGCCTAGGAAAGGTTGGAGGGAGAGGGTAAAGGCAACTTTGTGTGTAAGGGGGAATGGACATCCAGCAGGCATGTGTGAGCATGTCAGGTAGGAGTGAGTGGAGACAAATCGTTTTTATGGCTTGAAGTGCTGTTGGAGTATGAGCAAGGTAATATTTTGTAAAAGGATTCAGGGCAACCAGTTAGCTGGACTTGAGTCCTGGAAGTGGGAAGTACAGTGCCTGCAATTTGATGGAGGGGTGTTGATAAGTGCAGTTTTTTAACTATAGTGTAGGTGCACCTCTGGCAAGACAGTGATGGAGTGAATGATTATGAAAGTTTTTTTTTTTTTCTTCTTTTTTTTGGGTCATGCTGCCTTGGTGGGAAACACCCAATGTGTTAATAAAAAAAAATTGAGAGCATAACTTTTGAACATCGCAATTTGATGAGTACAGTACTAATGCAAGCCTATAATATGCAAAAAAAATTTTGAGTGCATTTTCATCTATTTGCCTTCGTTTATGACTGGATTATATACAGTGGAATTTCAACTTATAAATGGGGTCCATTCCCAGTGTTTCAACTTGCAAACAAATGATTTGTAACTAAACTTGTTATCCTGAATTCTGGTACAAATGGGGGTTATATGTTAAACATGTTAGTGCACAAGTATTGCTTATTCTCTTCAGTATTTCATTATCTCCTTCATATATTACCTACTTTTTTTTATATATGTTTCTTCCTCCCACTCTTCTCCATTCCCCATTCCCTGATCCTTTCTGCCCATTACCACTTCTTTCTAACAACATACAAAATACTCAGGAATTGATAGGGCAGACAAGGACAGGTTGTTTGAAAGGTGGGAAACAGATACTTGGGGAGGTCAGAGGTACGTCAGAAAGCATTTCTTCAGTCTCAGGGTAGTCAGAAAGTGGAGTGACCTCGAAGAAGTGGTAGACATACTTCATACGTAGTTTTTAGAATAGTTTCAATAGGGCCAAAGAAGCTAGGAGTAAGTGAATTTAGCAAGCAGTAAGTTTAGAGGTGGGGCCAGGAGGTGAGTACTTTCCACAGTCCTTTCTCCTGTTGTTCTCACTCCTTTTATCTGCTTGTATTTTTCACTGTTCTTCCTTCTTGCCTCTCATTCCCCTCTCTTCTCCCCTCCCCATATTTTTTTTTTTCACTCTCCTCCTTTTTCCTTCCCTGTCATTAACCCGTAAACGGTCCAAACGTATATATACGTTTTTTCAACATTTGAAAGTATGTAAAAATAATAATGTTTTTTTTGTTGTTATATTTGAAAATATGTAAAAAAAAAAAAAAAGATCTACTTTTGGAGCACTACACATGTGAACGTAGATCTGCCTGGACCGTTTACGGGTTAAACACCTCCCTCCCCATCCTCTTAATTTTTTCTCCCTTCCTCTCCCTCTTTGCTCTTCCCTCCCATTTACCATTTCCAATTCTCTCTTCCCCTGCTTTCTCTCCTCTTCTCTTTTTTCCAGTTCATTATAAATACTAAGAAAGTTGGATATCTAATAATATACTATAGTTGATGAGACCATTGTAATGTCTTGAGATATTAATTTGAGGTAAATTTTTTTCAGGGCTGTAGTAGAGCAAGCATTTGATAAATACACAGAACTTGATCAGATTTTGAAATTTTCAACTCCTAAAGTTCTTCGTTTAGTGGAAATCCTTCGTGAGGTGCGGCCACTCAATTTTATTGATCCACGTAAGAGAAGAGATAAATTGGAAAATACTGAAATTACTAAAACTGGAACTGCTGTAGATGGAACTGAAACCATTGATGCCAAATCTGTAGAAGACAGCAAAACTGCCATACAGAATACATTAGAGGATACGAAGGAAGATGATAATTTGAATGTGAAAGCCAGTTCTAATTTTCTTGAAATCACAGGTGAATTATCAGAAAACAGTGTGGCTCAGAATAATTTAAAAAATATTCTTCAACCCAGTGAAAATCTCGATGAAATGGAATTAGCCGAAGAAGTAATAAATGATGAAATGTCCAAGTCTATTAGTGAAAATTCGAAAAACTTGTTAGAAAATACAAAATCTGAAATTAGGTTAGTTAATGAAACTGTATGTGAGACAGTTCCTAAGTCATCTTGTAAAAATAAGATGTGTGATTACATCGTAAGTGAAAGTGTGTGTGAGTCACCTAGTAAATTAACCTTGCTGAGCTCAGTTACTAGTGACTCTAGTGTTAAATCAGAATTACCAGGGAAGGAGACTGACAAAACAATGGAAGTTTGTGGAGAGTTCACATGCAATGGGTGTATTTCTGTCAGTGAAGACATAAATGAAACTGGTGATGTGTCAGATGATGCAGAATTATATACACCTGCCCCAAAGTTATCTACAGAATGTACAAGCAAGGCTGTGTCCAAGTCATACACAAGTGATTTTGAATGTTATACTAGTGAAATAGATACTAATGAATGTAAGATAGCTCTGTCAGGATCACTGGAAGAAGTTAAGACAAAAGAGTTCAGTGGTGAAGATATAATTCAAAATTGTATAAAGCAAGAGTGTGACCATGTACAGAATGGGAGCATTGTGTGTATTGACAGTATGCAAAGTAAAGTACAAATGGATCCTGATTCACAAATCTGTTGCAATATACTTGAAGCTGTAGACAATAAGAAAAGCAAAGATGGCTCAGTCTTAGAAGACAATTTATGTAGACTTAATGTTAAGAAATCATCTTGTATAGATGGCTGTGAACTAGAAATTTTGAGCTGTGATCCATGTAATGGACTTTTGAGTGCCAAAAGTGAACTTCAAGATACTGCCAACATACAAAACATTAAAAATGTAATGCTATGCAATGGATTTGCACATGGTAGTCATAATGGTTTGTCATCCAGAATCTCAGATGATGTTGATTGCAAATTGAATGGCCACATTGACCTGGATAAGCTTCCGTCAAGTCGTAAAGGTGAGAGTGATAGTGTAAGTATAGCAAAGGCAGATACCGAATGCTGTGCCTCAGTACAAAACCAGTTTAGCATGGAAACTTGTTGTGATTCCATTGCTGAAACTTCCGCTTCTCTTGCTACCTCCAAGCTGCCTTGTGAGGCAGTTTCTGCTCTTGCTACTCACGTCAATATCACAACAAATTCTCACAATGAAATAATGATTGAAGAAATTGGTGACCAAGTGGATTCTTCAGATAGTTTAGAAGAAAATTCTACACCTGAACAGTCAAAGATAACACCACCACCAAAAACATGCACAGAAAGTGTAGATAGTTGTCCAGGTAATTCTAATACTGGTTTGAATTCAAGTAATGAAATGGAAGAAACTAGCTCAACTGCACCAGTGGTATCTTCAGAGGCAGCTGCAATGGCTGACACACTAGCATTGCTGCTTCCTAGTGGGGGCAAGGGGCGTAAACGACGGGATGACGTTAAGGAGAAGGTGAAAGTCCACAACCCTGAAGATCCTGACTCTGTGTGTGGTCTAATATTCGTTCATCACCGTAATATGGCCAAGATTATATACAGACTCTTAAAGGTAGGAACCCCTCAGTGATAGAATGTGTGTGCCTTGATGTTGGTGAAGAGCTTCTTGTTTTACTTTCTTTTTTCCAAAAGAATTAGAGCTACTCTTCACTTCCTTGTATCAAACAAACCTGCTGTAAATTTAGTCAGTTTATATCTTAGGTACGATAACACTATTTTTGGCTCATTTTTTCCACATTAATATTTTAACTTGACACTTAAGGCAACTTAATGTTATTGGTATTAGATGAACAGCCTTGCAGATGACATACTCTGTGTAGTAATTGTGATGTAAGAACACACTTCTGGCAAGACAGCAAGTGAATAAACGATGGTGAATGGTTTTTATTTCCATCACCCTGTCTTGGTGAGAGATTACCATTCAGGTAAAAAAAAAAAAATCAATCCAAATTTCATTGTTAATCAATTTTTGCTGGTGTTACAGGAGCTCAGTGATATAGGTGGAGATTATGCCTGGATCTTCCCTCAGTACACTGTTGAAGCGAAAGAAAGTGTGAAGGATGACCCAAGAGCTGCCGAGGCTGAGCATAAGAAGCAGGAGGAAGTTCTCCGCAGGTATGTTTTAAAACATTTCAGTAGTGGATAGTGCATAAAGAAACTGAAAGGGAGTTTATAAAAATGAGTGACTGATTATCAGCAAAACAAAAACTAATTTGGTAAGGAGCTAGAAAGCATGGTTATGGACCATAGGGAATATTTTTAGGGCTTAATAAAATGAAGTACTATTTTTTTTTTTGTTTGTTTGTATTTATCTTTTTTCTTACTCTTTCTTCTTACTTTAACTTCCTTTTGTTTCTTATGTTTATTTTGAATATTTTTTTCTAGTGGTGTCTTTTGTCTGTCTCATAAATATGCAGAATTACAGGTACGTCTTGCTACTTCTACTTACACTTAGGTCACACTACACATACATGTACATGTTTATTTATACACACTCATCTGAGTTTTCTTTGATTTTATCTTAATAGTTCTTGGTCTTACTACTGTTTCCTTTTACAGTGGAACCTCAAAAATCGAACGTTTCGAAAATAGGACCATTTTTTTTTTGGACAAACTGTGTCCCTATTATCGAACGCGCCCCTATTTTCGGACCGCCGGGTATGGGACCTGTCTGCCGGCCTGCTCTGTCCGCGTCCCCGCACAGGCGCCGTGAGCAGTCTAGCTTTGTTTATGCTTGAGTGAACACTAACCTGCGCTCTCATTCACGCATTTTACGATTATTTCGTTGTGTTTAGTGCTTGTGGGACTGTGAAATAAGCTGCCATGGGCCCAAAGAAACTTGCTAGTGGTACCCCTGTGGTAAAGAAAGTGAGAAACACCATAGATGTGAAGAAGGAAATAATACAGAAGTATGAGAGTGGTGTGAGACTTGTTGAGCTTGCCAGGATGTATGGGAAAAACAAGTCGACCATCGGTTCTATCCTGCCAAAGAAAGAACAAATCAAGGAAGCTGATGTTGCGAAAGGTGTTAATATAGGGAGTGGATGAGGTGCCTTCTTCAAAGATTAAGGAGATTTGTGCCAAGTGGAATGATGTCCAAATGTTTGTGCAGAAGTACCACCCTGAGCAAGCTGAAACAAGCCATCTTTGCAACAAGTTCAGTGACAGAAAGATGTCCCATTTTAGGGAAATGTTAAAGAGGCGCCAGAAACAGAGGACTGTGGACAGTTATTTTGTGAGACAGGAGTCCAGTGACTCTCAAGCTGGTCCTAGTGGCATTAAAAGACAGAAGGGAAGTAACCCCAGAGAGGGCTTTACCTGAAGTCCTCATGGAGGGGGATTCTCCTTCCAAACACTAACCCCAACTCCCTCTCTCTTCCTCCCTATCTTCCAGATGCCATCACCAATCATCAATAAAGGTAAGTAAAAATGTTATTTTATATGTATTACTATACATAATTAAAAACTATAGTATTTGTTGTATGTAAAACTGTAATTTATCTCTATAAAATGTATTTTTTCTGTGAATATTTTTGGGTTTCTGGAACGGATTAATTGTATTTCCATTATTTCTTATGGGAAATATTGCTTCGAATTTTAGACTTTTCGAATTTACAACTAGCTCCTGGAACGGATTAAGTTCGATTTTTGAGGTTCCACTGTATATTCATGGGGAAGTGGAATAAGAATCTTTCCTACGTAAGCCATGCGTGTTGTGAAAGTCGACTAAAATGCCGGGAACAATGGGCTTGTAACCCCTTTTCCTGTAATAATTACTAAAAAGAATAATAATAAGAAAATTGTCAAAGTGGGAAGTCTGAATGTGCATGGATGTTGTGCAAATGATAAGGAAGAGATGATTGTGGATGTTATGAATGAGAAGAAGCTGGATGTCCTGGCTTTAAGTGAAACAAAGCTGAAGGGGATGGGAGAGTTTCAGTGGAGAGGAATAAATGGGATTAGGTCAGGGGTTTCAAATAGTTAGAGCTAAAGAAGGAGTAGCAATAATGTTGAAGGATAAGCTATGGCAGGAAAAGAGGGATTATAAATGTATTAATTCAAAGATTATGTTGATGTGAAAAGTGGGTTATAGTAAGCATATATGCACCTGGAGAAGAGAGAAGTGTAGAGGAGAGAGAGAGATTTTGGGAAATGTTGAGTGAATGCGTGGGGAGTTTTGAACCAAGTGTGAAAGTAATGGTGGTTGGGGATTTCAATGCTTAAGTGGGCAAAAATGTTTTGGAGGGAGTAGTAGGTAAATTTGGGGTGCCAGGAGTAAATGAAAATGGGGAGCCTTTAATTGAGCTATGTGTAGAAAGAGGTTTGGTAATAAGTAATACATATTTTATGAAGAAGAGGATAAATAAATATACAAGGTACGATATAGCACGTAATGAAAGTAGTTTGTTAGATTATGTATTGGTGGATAAAAGGTTGATGGGTAGGCTCCAGGATGTACATGTTTATAGAGGGACAACTGATATATTGGATCATTATTTAGTTGTAGCTACAGTTAGAGTAAGAGGTAGATGGGAAAAGAGGAAAATGGCAACAACAAGCAAGACGGAGGTGAAAGTGTGTAAACTAAGGGAGGAGGAAGTTCGGGTGAGATATTAGCAACTATTGGCAGAAAGGTGGGCTGCTGTAAGTATGAGTAGTGGGGGGGGGGGGTTGAAGAGGGTTGGAATAGTTTTAAAAATACAGTATTAGAATGTGGGGCAGAAGTTTGTGGTTATAGGAGGGTGGGTGCAGGAGGAAAGAGGAGTGTTTGGTGGAATGATGAAGTAAAGGGTGTGATAAAAGAGAAAAAATTATCTTATGAGAGGTTCTTACGAAGCAGAAGTGTTATAAGAAGAGTAGAGTATATGGAGAGTGAAAGAAAGGTGAAGAGAGTGGTGAGAGAGTGCAAAAGGAGAGCAGATGATAGAGTGGGAGAGGCACTGTCAAGAAATTTTAATGAAAATAAGAAAAAATTTTGGAGCGAGTTAAATAAGTTAAGAAAGCCTAGAGAACGAATGGATTTGGCAGTTAAAAACAGACTAGGGGAGCCCTCTTCATCCTTTCCAAATGCTCAAACCACTTCAGGAACCCTTCTTCAGCCCTCTGAATTATACTTTTGTTGTCCCCCACACTGTCTTCTCATTTCTTCACTCTAAACCCTGTGCATAATATTTACACCACATGAGGGTATCAAACGATGTAGATATAGAGAAATAGGATATCACATTGGAGAGAGGGAGTGTGGAAGAAGTGAATGTTTTCAGATATTTGGGAGTTGACTTGTCAATGGATGGGTTTATGAAGGACAAGGTTAACCATAGAATTGATGAAGGAAAAAAGGTGAGCGGTGTATTGAGGTATCTATGGCAACAAAAAAAAAAAAGTTATCCATGGAGGCAAAGAAGGAAATATATAAGAGTATAGTGGTACTAATGCTGTCATATGGGTGTGAGGCATGGGTTGTAAATACTGCAGCCAGGAGGAGACTGGAGGCAGTGGAGATGTGTCTAAGGGCAATGTGTAATGTAAATATTATGCAGAGAATTTGTAGTCTGGAAATTAGGAGGTGTGGAGTTAATAAAAGTGTTGGTCAGAGGGCTGAAGAGGGGTTGTTGAGGTGGTTTGGTCATTTAGAGAGAATGGAACAAAGTAGAATGACTTGGAGAGCATATAAATCTGTAAGGGAAGGCAGGGTAGGGGGTCATCCTTGAAAAGGTTGGGGGAGGGGGGTAAAGGTTTTGTGGGGAAGGGGCTTGGACTTCCAGCAAGTGTGCATGAGTGTGTTAGATAGGAATGAATGGAGACGAATGGTTTTTGGGACCTGACAAGCTGTTGGAGTGTGAGCAGGGTAATATTTTGTGAAGGGATTCAGGGAAACTGGTTAACTGGACCTGAGTCCTGGAAGTGGTAAGTACAATACATGCACTTTAAAGGAGGGTTTTGGGATATTGGCAGTTTGGAGGGACATCTAAACTGTTGTATCTGAGCACTTCTGCCAAGACAGTGATGGTGAAAGTGTTAAATGATGATGAAAGTTTTTTCTTTCTTTTTGTTTTTTTCTTTTTCTTTTTGCATCACCCTGCCTCGGTGAGAAACGGCCGATGTGTTAAAAAAAAAATTGCTTTCAAATGTGACATCTCCACTACTTCTAGCCTCCTTACTGTAACAACAAAGCCCATGCTTTGCACCCATATAAAAGTGTTGGTACTACTATATGTACTCTGGTGCATTTTTTTTTTCTCTTTCCTCCACAGATAACACACCGCCTTCCTTTTTACCTTCATCTCTTATGGTTAACCTCTTCCTTCATGGACCCATATGCCAAAATGAACACTAAATAATGTAAATGCATCCACTTCCACATTATTAGAATTTGCATATTACATAAAATGTTTTTTTCTTGATGTGTTTACATTTGTCTAATGCACTTACTGACATTCTTTGAAAGGATCTTGTGAAAAATCTGTGAATAGGGTACATTCATATTACCATCCAAAGTAACATAATGTTGCTAGTTGTGGCTAACGCGACGGGCTGGAGTTTTGAGACTCTCTGACCGCGGGTTCAATCCTGGCCGGGGTATGGTTTGTTTGCAATTGTGTCATTACGATTTCGTGAGTCAAAACTGGGAATACTGTAGCAGTTTTACTGTACTACATTAGCGATATATAGTGTGTGACTTTTTTAAGTTCCTTATAACTCCTATACTGAATCTTTTATTTTATCTTAGATTCCGTCATCATGAGTGCAACGTTTTAGTATCTACGCGTGTTCTTGAAGAAGGTATCGACGTTCCACAGTGTAATCTTGTCCTACGGTAAGTGCAAAATTATTAGTAGATTCAAATACATAGTTGGTACCAATTTTTTGTTTGAATGATCTTATATTTTTTCTTTCACCCATGTCCTTTATTTTTATTAAACATTTTAACTGGCTACAGTTTAATGCTTACTTTAAAATATAGTTTTGGAGTGGTTGGTGCAATTATTTAATAAATGTATGGAAGAGGGTAAAGTACCTAGGGATTGGCAGAGAGCATGCATAGTTCCTTTGTATAAAGGCAAAGGGGACAAAAGAGTGCAAAAATTATAGGGGGATAAGTTTGTTGAGTGTACCTGGTAAAGTGTATGGTAGAGTTATTATTGAAAGAATTAAGAGTAAGACTGAGAACAGGATAGCAGATGAACAAGGAGGCTTTAGGAAAGGTAGGGGGGGGGGTTGTGGACCAGGTATTTACAGTGAAACATATAAGTGAACAGAATTTAGATAAGGCTAAAGAGGTCTTTGTGGCATTTATGGATTTGGAAAAGGCGTATGACAGGGTGGATAGGGGGGCAATGTGGCAGATGTTGCAGGTGTATCGTGTAGGAGGTAGGTTACTGAAAGCAGTGAAGAGTTTTTACGAGGATAGTGAGGCTCAAGTTAGAGTATGTAGGAAAGAGGGAAATTATTTCCCAGTAAAAGTAGGCCTTAGACAAGGATGTGTGATGTCATCGTGGTTGTTTAACCCTTTGACTGAGGTGTCTCCTGGTGTCGCAAAATTTCAAAAAAAAAATTTTTTTTTTCTTATGAAATGATAGAGAATCTTTTCCTGATTGTAATGACTCCAAAAAAAACGAAATTTGATGGAAAACTGACGGAATTATGCTCTTGTGAAGTTAGCGACCTCGGCGATATTTACAAATCGGCGATTTCGCCCACTTTGAGCCCTATTTTTGGCTAATTCCATTGTTCCAGTTGACCAAACTCATAGCTATTTCTTTAGAACTCTATTTTTTCTATCGATTGAGTACAAGAAACTGCCCATTTACCGATTTCAACTACCCAATAATGTGGTCAGAAATTTGCAGTTTGGCCAATTTCACGAAAATTAAAAAAATGACAATTTCAAAATAAGGTCCAGAATGAACAATGCAGACATTCCTGGCTCTAAAATAACATTTTCTTTGTTCATCAGTCATGTCTCCAGGCCTCTCTGATATTACTCTTGCTTTCTATTTTGAATTTTTATTCAAACAAAAATTGAAGACTTACTATTATGCAGACTACTGCAATACTGTAATAATTGTATAAATAGCATCAATCCATTCATGACTGCATATTAGAATGGCTAGTTGAACATTTATTGGACAATGACATCATTTGTTTACTTTTGAACATTGGCAAAAATCAAACATTTTCCATATTTTGAGCTCCATTTCCAGGTTCTTTTTATAGTAAAATCAATCAAAATCACCTCTACTTCTATAATATGTTTTCCATTCTATCAAATGAGATCAAGAAAATGAGAATACAACCATAAATACTATACGAAAATAGACCACAAAATCGGCATTTTAATTTAAAAAAATGGTCGGAGTTTTTTTTTTTTATATGGTGCACACTGACCACACAGACCCATTCTCTCACATGTGGGCCTACCAGCTTTTTCCTGCTTGATTTGAAGCCGCTAGAATTTGAGTATATATACGTCAAACACTGTACCTCGTAAGACGTATATATACGGCCGCGACAGTCAAAGGGTTAATATATTTATAGATGGGGTTGTAAGAGAAGTAAATGCAAGGGTCTTGGCAAGAGGCATGGAGTTAAAAGATAAAGAATCACACATAAAGTGGGAGTTGTCACAGTTGCTCTTTGCTGATGACACTGTGCTCTTTGGAGATTCTGTTAAGAAGTTGCAGAGATTGGTGGATGAATTTGGTAGGGTATACAAAAAGAAAATTAAATGTGAATACAGGAAAGATTAAGGTTATGAGGATAAAAAGATTAGGTGATGAAAGATTGGATATCAGATTGGGGGGGAGAGGGTATGGAGGAGGTGAATGTATTCAGATATTTGGGAGTGGACGTGTCAGCGGATGGGTCTATGAAAGATGAGGTGAATCATAGAATTGATGAGGGGAAAAGGGTGAGTGGTGCACTTAGGAGTCTGTGGAGACAGAACTTTGTCCTTGGAGGCAAAGGGGGAATGTATGAGAGTATAGTTTTACCAACGCTCTTATATGGGTGTGAAGCATGGGTGATGAATGTTGCAGCGAGGAGAAGGCTGGAGGCAGTGGAGATGTCATGTCTGAGGGCAATGTGTGGTATGAATATAATGCAGAGAATTCGTAGTTTGGAAGTTAGGAGGAGGTGCGGGATTACCAAAACTGTTGTCCAGAGGGCTGAGGAAGGGTTGTTGAGGTGGTTCGGACATGTAGAGAGAATGGAGCGAAACAGAATGACTCCAAGAGTGTATCAGTCTGTAGTGGAAGGAAGGTGGGGTAGGGGTTGGCCTAGGAAAGGTTGGAGGGAGGGGGTAAGGAGGTTTTGTGTGCGAGGGGCTTGGACTTCCAGCAGGCATGCGTGAGCGTGTTTGATAGGAGTGAATGGAGACAAATGGTTTTTAATACTTGACGTGCTGTTGGAGTGTGAGCAAAGTAACATTTATGAAGGGGTTCAGGGAAACCGGCAGGCCGGACTTGAGTCCTGGAGATGGGAAGTACAGTGCCTGCACTCTGAAGGAGGGGTGTTAATGTTGCAGTTTAAAAACTGTAGTGTAAAGCACCCTTCTGGCAAGGCAGTGATGGAGTGAATGATGGTGAAAGTTTTTCTTTTTCGGGCCACCCTGCCTTGGTGGGAATCGGCCAGCGTGATAATAAAAAATAATAATAAAAATTTAAAATTATAGGGCCATTCTCTCTCTCATAGTTATTTTCATGTTCTCTTGCACACCTTTTCCTATATGATAATCATATGACCCTATTAGATTTAGTGCTTCTTTTTGATTATAGTAATAATATATGATAATCAATGGATTACTTGGTATTATGTAAATTCTTTTACAGGTTTGACCCTCCAACTGACTACCGTTCATATGTGCACAGCTGTGGCCGTGCAAGGGGTCATGACACATTTTATTTTCATTTAATCACCAAAATGCAAGAGAAAAGCTTCCTCTGTGATATGGCAACATATTCTGCTTTTCAACAAGTAAGCATGATTATCACTTAGTATATTTTAATATTTTTATCCTTCACACAATCGTTTAAGTTGTGATGGTTATGTAGGCCTGAAGGCCATTAGCAGCAACATGCTGGTTGACCAGACAGCCAATGAGGAATCCTGGCCTCAGGCTGAGTTACAAGGGACCCTTGAAACTGTTCACAGGTTCTAGAGTTGTATGTGAATACAAAACCAGATAATAATCTACCTTAAAAAATTTTATGCAAATTTTTTTTTTTTTTTTTTTTTTTTTTTTTTTTTTTTTTTTTTTTTTTGCTACTTTTACTGTTTCCACTAGGGTAGGGTGACTCGAGGAAAGAAACACATTCGCCATCACTCATTCAGTAGCTCTTGCCAGAAGTGTGTAGACATCACAATTCATATAACTCTGAATTTCATCATTTCCATTCATCTTACCTGTGACCAGTTTCAGGAGGTTTTCTACCCTCGCTTCTCATTCCCGGAGACCGGCTTACTTGTTGATTGCATATTCCACCAGGCTGTTACCATTGGTGGCTCACTGACTCAAATGTCTGTCACAGCTTGGTTGATCTGGCACTTAGTAGATGTGGCAATCCAGTTTGCCCTTGAAAACCTCTACATTTGTTCTGGCAGTATTTCTAATATTTGCTGGTAGCAAATTGAATAGACTTCAACCACAGATGTTGACACAATGTTCTTCTGTTGTGCCCATGGTACTCCTACCTTACACTGAGTCTATTTTACACTTTCATAATTCCAGTATGTTAGGGTAGCATAGATTTAGGACTAAACCCTTAAGTATCTTTGATGTATATACTGTACATTATAAATGCACAAGTCATTATTTGCATTCACTAATTTTGGGGCTGAATTCAGTGTTCTTGGAAAACCCTTTATTATTCTGACTTGGTTACCCAAAAGAATGCTAGGCCTATCCCTGGATCCATTATAATCCAGGTACAGGCTTTCATGGTGTATAATAATGCTATCAGACTAAGAACTGAGAAGATGTTATTATCTGTTATTAGTGTGTAAAATTTCCTTTCATTCTTGTAACATAATACATGTTTACAGGTGTTAGTAAGTCGGTGCGGAAGTGTTGAAGTGGGCACAGATGTAGAAGTTATGGCTGAGGAAGCTAATGGTGCATATCCCTCCTACCTAACCCCTGCTAATACTGCTGTTACCATGGCTTCAGCAATAGGCCTTCTGAACAAGTATGGGGGCATATTTTTTTTTAAGCACAGTGAAGCTAGGGCTCTCATTTGCAGGGTTTATGCAGTGCTTGAATTATTATCTTATTTATTTAGAAAAATTTTGATGTTAATGACTTATCTTTTTTTTATTTGTTTATTTTAGTTTTTTTTGCTTTCAGGTTTTAATGTGTTGGGTGAAATAATTTTTCATGAAGTGTTGAATGATTTTTTGGGTCAAGTAAATTTGTAAATCTTTCAATTTTGCTCATTCTTCATCAGCTATCTTTCCTTTATATGGATATCTTTCAGACTAAGATCACTTTCGATTTGTACACCAGGACATAAAAAGTGGTTAATTCAAGTACATTGTTTAATTTTCATTAACTGGCACTTTAGAGAAGAGAGAGAAGATTCAAGTTGTATATCACCTGAGTTTCTGATATTTTATATTAGGGAAAAGCTCTTGTTTTGTATATATGCGTTATTCATGTTTTCATTCTTTCATTCTTTCACTCCATTTTGTTGAAGTTGTGTTGCATCTATATTTATTTTGTTCTAGATATTGTGCCAAACTACCGAGTGACACCTTCACACGTTTAACAGCTATGTGGGAAATAGAAGAGAATGAAGACAGTATTGGCAGTTACTGTTGCAGAATAATGTTGCCAATTAACTCTCCTTTAAAAGGAACCATTCAGGTGAATTTGATCTTTTGTGATATTCCTAGTTCTGTAATTTCGCATTTTTGTGCAATGGACGAGTTCTGTGGGTAGCTCACGGACAGTGAATTCACTTTTTTTTTTTTTTTTTTTTTTTTTTTTTTTTTTTTTTTTTTTTTTCTTCTTCTTCTACAAACTGACTGTATCCCACCAAGGCAGGGTGACTTAAGAAAGAAAAACAAAAGTTTTTCTTTTTAACCCCTTTGAGGGTCGACAGGCCCTCTCCGAGACTCGTTCTCAGGGTCGACCAAATTTTAAAAAAAAAAAAATCTTATGAAAAGATAGAGAATCTTTTCCCGATCATAATGACACCAAAAGTATGAAATTTGATGGAAAACTTAGGGAATTATGCTCTCGCGAAGTTAGCGGTCTCGGTGATGTTTACGCATTGGCGATTTTGCTCACTTTGAGCCCCATTTTTGGCCAATTCCACTGTACTAGTCAACAATAAACATGAATATTTTGCTAGAACTCCATTTTTTCTATCGAATAAGTGCAAGAAACCACCCATTTACCAATTTCAACTATCCAGTACAGTGGTCAGAATTTAGCAATTTTGCCAATTTCACACAAATTTCAAAAGATGCCAATTTCCGAATAGGGTCCAGAATAAACAAGAAAGACATTCCTGGCACTAAAATGACATTTCCTCTGTTCATTAGTCATGTCTCAAGGCCCCTCTTACATTCTTTTGCTTTCCACTTTGAATTTTTATTCTCACAAAAAATAGAAGATTTACTGTTATGCAGACTACTGCATTAGTGTAAAAAATGGTATAAATAATATTGGCGCACTTGCGAAAGAATATTTGACTCGCCAGTTGACGTGTATTGGATGCTTGGCATGATTTGTTTACTTTCGAACTTTGGTAAAATCGAACATTTCTGCTACTTTGAGCTCAATTTCAAGGTACTTCTTATTGTAAAACCAGTCAAAATCATCTCAATTTCTGTAATATGTCTTCCATTCTATAAAATGAGACCAAGAAAACTAGAATTCAACAATAAATACCATACGAAAATACAGTGCAAAGTCGCTGTTTTATTCCAAAAAAACGGTCGGATTTTTTTTTCTCATTATGCACTGTGTGCTGCAGGATTTTTTTATACTGTGCACACTGACCACTTAGACCCATTCTTTCATATGTAGGTCTACTAGCTTTCTCCCACTAGATTTGAGGGCGTTAGAATTTAGGCGTACTAGTACGTCAAAAACCCTGGGTCGTAAGCCATACTAGTACGGCCGAAACCCCCAAAGGGTTAAACTGTCCAAACAGATCTACATTCACATGCGTAGTGCTCCAAAAGTAGATCTACGTTTTTTTACATACTTTCAAATGTTGAAAAAACGTAGATCTACGTTTGGACGTAGTCCCCAGACAGGATGGGACTTGCTCAGACAGGATGGGACTTGCTCAGACAGGATGGGACTTGCTCAGACAGGATGGGACTTGCTCAGACAGGATGGGACTTACACAGACAGGATGGGACTTGCTCAGACAAGATGGGACTTACTCAGGCAGGATGGGACTTATTCAGACAGGATGAGACTTTACTTCAAGTGTGAAAATCCATGTATTTTAGCTAGAAAATAATGTTTGTCTGAAAAGTGTTCTAAATGCTCCAAATCTTCGAAATATGCAGTAAAACATCATTTTTGCACATTTTTACAATTTTTTTCAATGCTTCAGGTATTTTTAAAAAATATATGAAATATTCAAAATTATTTCTGAATTTCATCGAAATTTTATGGGCTTTTTGAAAAATACGTTATATACTTTAAAATTTTGAAAAATGCTCGAAAATTATATTTTTTGTCATATTTTGATGATTCGAGGCTTTTCCAAGCATTTCTTGACGATTTAGTTCATTTAGAACGTTTTTCTGACAAACCTTATTTTTTTAGCTAAAATACATGGGTTTTCACACTTTTTCATCAGACTCACTGCTACAATTGAATTTTATGCTAAAAGTAAGCTAAAATATATTTTTGTTAAGTATTTTGTTAAAACATATTTTCACTAAAAAACAAAACCAGAAATTTTTCAAGAAATGCTTGATAAAGCCTCGAATCATCGAAATATTCCAAAAAATATTATTTTTTAATATTTTTCAACATTTTAAAATATGTTACATATTTATAAAAAATCGCACAAAGATTCCATTATATTCAAAAATAATTTTGAATAATTCATGTATTTTTTAAAAATACTTTAATCATTGAAAAAATCGGAAAAATATGCTAAAATGATGTTTTACTGCATATTTCGACGAATTGGAGCATTTACAACAATTTTCAAACAAACCTTACTTGTTAGCTAAAATAAATGGATTTTCACTCTTGAAATATGTATTCACAAAATACTACACTAAAATGTCATATTTAAGTTACTTTCAGCATAATATTCAATTCCATCAGTAATTCTGACAAAAAAGTTTGAAAATCCATGAATTTTAGGTAAAAAATCAGGTTTGTCTGAGAAACGTTCTAAATGCTGCAAATCGTCGAAATATGCAGTAAAACACCATTTTTGCACATTTTTCCAATTTTTTCAATGCTTCAGTTATTTTAAAAAAATATTTTTTTATTATCACACTGGCCGATTCCCACCAAGGCAGGGTGGCCCGAAAAAGAAAAACTTTCACCATCATTCACTCCATCACTGTCTTGCCAGAAGGGTGCTTTACACTACAGTTTTTAAACTGCAACATTAACACCCTTCCTTCAGAGTGCAGGCACTGTACTTCCCATCTCCAGGACTCAAGTCCAGCCTGCCGGTTTCCCTGAACCCCTTCATAAATGTTACTTTGCTCACACTCCAACAGCACGTCAAGTATTAAAAACCATTTGTCTCCATTCACTCCTATCAAACACGCTCACGCATGCCTGCTGAAAGTCAAAGCCCCTCATACACAAAACCTCCCTCCAACCTTTCCTAGGCCGACCCCTACCCCGCCTTCCTTCCACTACAGACTGATACACTCTTGAAGTCATTCTGTTTCGCTCCATTCTCTCTACATGTCCGAACCACCTCAACAACCCTTCCTCAGCCCTCTGGACAACAGTTTTGGTAATCCCGCACCTCCTCCTAACTTCCAAACTACGAATTCTCTGCATTATATTCACACCACACATTGCCCTCAGACATGACATCTCCACTGCCTCCAGCCTTCTCCTCGCTGCAACATTCATCACCCATGCTTCACACCCATATAAGAGCGTTGGTAAAACTATACTCTCATACATTCCCCTCTTTGCCTCCAAGGACAAAGTTCTTTGTCTCCACAGACTCCTAAGTGCACCACTCACTCTTTTCCCCTCATCAGTTCTATGATTCACCTCATCTTTCATAGACCCATCCGCTGACACGTCCACTCCCAAATATCTGAATACATTCACCTCCTCCATACTCTCTCCCTCCAATCTGATATTCAATCTTTCATCACCTAATCTTTTTGTTATCCTCATAACCTTACTCTTTCCTGTATTCACCTTTAATTTTCTTCTTTTGCACACCCTACCAAATTCATCCACCAATCTCTGCAACTTCTCTTCAGAATCTCCCAAGAGCAGTGTCATCAGCAAAGAGCAGCTGTGACAACTCCCACTTTGTGTGTGATTCTTTATCTTTTAACTCCATGCCTCCTGCTAAGACCCTCGCATTTACTTCTCTTACAACCCCATCTATAAATATATTAAACAACCACGGTGACATCACACATCCTTGTCTAAGGCCTACTTTTACTGGGAAATAATTTCCCTCTTTCCTACATACTCTAACTTGAGCCTCACTATCCTCGTAAAAACTCTTCACTGCTTTCAGTAACCTACCTCCTACACCATACACTTGCAACATCTGCCACATTGCCCCCCTATCCACCCTGTCATACGCCTTTTCCAAATCCATAAATGCCACAAAGACCTCTTTAGCCTTATCTAAATACTGTTCACTTATATGTTTCACTGTAAACACCTGGTCCACACACCCCCTACCTTTCCTAAAGCCTCCTTGTTCATCTGCTATCCTATTCTCTGAATTTCATCGAAATTTTATGGGCTTTTTGAAAAATATGTAATATACTTTAAAATGTTGAAAAATGCTCGAAAATGATATTTTTTGGCATATTTCGACGATTCGAAATTGATGAGGGGAGAAGGGTGAGTGGTGCACTTAGGAGTCTCTGGAGACAAAGAACATTGTCCTTGGAGGCAAAGAGGGGAAAGTATGAGAGTATAGTTTTACCAACGCTCTTATATGGGTGTGAAGCATGGGTGATAAATGTTGCAGCGAGGAGAAGGCTGGAGGCAGTGGAGATGTCATGTCTGAGGGCAATGTGTGATGTGAATATAATGCAGAGAATTTGTAGTTTGGAAGTTAGGAGGAGGTGCGGGATTACCAAAACTGTTGTCCAGAGGGCTGAGGAAGGGTTGTTGAGGTGGTTCAGACATGTAGAGAGAATGGAGCGAAAAAGAGTGACTTCAAGAGTGTATCAGTCTGTAGTGGAAGGAAGGCGGGGTAGGGGTCGGCCTAGGAAAGGTTGGAGGGAGGGGGGTAAAGGAGGTTTTGTGTGCGAGGGGCTTGGACTTCCAGCAGGCATGCGTGAGCGTGTTTGATAGGAGTGAATGGAGACAAATGGTTTTTAATACTTGACGTGCTGTTGGAGTGTGAGCAAAGTAACATTTATGAAGGGGTTCAGGGAAACCGGCAGGCCGGACTTGAGTCCTGGAGATGGGAAGTACAGTGCCTGCACTCTGAAGGAGGGGTGTTAATGTTGCAGTTTAAAAACTGTAGTGTAAAGCACCCTTCTGGCAAGACAGTGATGGAGTGAATGATGGTGAAAGTTTTTCTTTTTCGGGCCACCCTGCCTTGGTGGGAATCGGCCAGTGTGATAATAAAATAAAATAAAATAAAAATCGATGCTTTTCCAAGCATTTCTTGACGATTTAGTTAGAACGTTTTTCTGACAAACCTTATTTTTTAGCTAAAATATATGGGTTTTCACACTTTTTCATCAGATTCACTGCTACAATTAAATTTTATGCTAAAAGTAAGCTAAAATATATTTTTGTGAAGTATTTTGTTAAAATTACTTTAATCATTGAAAAAATCGGAAAAATATACTAAAATGATGTTTCACTGCATATTTCGACGATTTCGAGCATTTAGAACACTTTTCAGACAAACATTATTTTCTAGCTAAAATACATGGATTTTCACACTTGAAGTATGTATTGACAAAGTACTTCACTAAAATTTCATATTTAACTTACTTTTAGCATAAAATTCAATTGCATCAGTAATTCTGATTAAAAAGTTTGAAAACACATGAATATTTAGTGAAAAATTAACTTTCTCTAAAAAGTGTTCTAAATGCTCCAAATCGTCGAAATATGCAGTGAAACATCATTTTAGCATATTTTTCCGATTTTTTTCAATGATTCAAGTATGTATTTTGAAAAAAAATACATGAAATATTCAAAATTATTTTTTAATATAATGGAATTTTTGTGGGATTTTTTAAAAATATGTAATATACTTTAAAATGTTGAAAAATGTTCGAAAATAATATTTTTTGGAATATTTCGACGATTCGAGGCTTTCAAGCATTTCTTGAAAAACTTTTTTTTTTTTTTTAGTTAAAATATGTTTTAACAAAATACTTCACAAAAATATATTTTAGTTTACTTTTAGCATAAAATTCAATTGTAGCAGTGAATCTGATGAAAAAGTGTGAAAACCCATGCATTTTAGCTAAAAAATAAGGTTTGTCAGAAAAACGTTCTAAATGAACTAAATTGTCAAGAAATACTTGGAAAAGCCTCAAATCGTCGAAATATGCCAAAAAATATAATTTTCGAGCATTTTTCAACATTTTAAAGTATATTACATATTTTCAAAAAGTCCATAAAATTTCGATGAAATTCAGAAATAATTTTGAATATTTCATATATTTTTTAAAAATACCTGAAGCATTGAAAAAATCGGAAAAATGTGCAAAAATAATGTTTTACTACATGTACTTTTTGCTGATGATACTGTGCTTATAGGAGATTCTAAAGAAAAATTGCAAAGGTTAGTGGACATATTTGGGAGTGTGTGTAAAGGTAGAAAGTTGAAAGTGAACGTAGAAAAGAGTAAGGTGGTGAGGGTATCAAATGATTTTGATAAAGAAAAACTGGATATCAAATTGGGGAGTAGTAGTATGGAAGAAGTGGATGTTTTCAGATATTTGGGAGTTGACGTGTCAGTGGATGGATTTATGAAGGATGAGGTTAATCATAGAATGGATGAAGGAAAAAAGGCGAGTGGGTGCATTGAGGTACATGTAGGGACAAAAAATGTTATCTATGGAGGCAAAGAAGGGTATGTATGAAAGTATAGTAGTGCCAACACTCTTATATGGGTGTGAAGCTTGGGTTGTAAATGCTGCAGCAAAGTGGCGGTTGGAGATATTGGAGATGTCCTGTCTAAGATCAGTGTGTGGTGTAAATATTATGCAGAAAATTCGGAGTGTGGAAATTAGGAGAAGGTGTGGAGTTAATAAAAGTATTAGTCAGAGGGCTGAAGAGGGGTTGTTGAGGTGGTTTGGTCATTTAGAGACAATGGATCAGAGTAGAGTGACATGGAGAGCATATAAATCTGTAGGGGAAGGAAGGCGGGGTAGGGGTCATCCTCGAAAAGGTTGGAGGGAAGGGGTAAAGGAAGTTTTGTGGGCGAGGGGCTGGGACTTCCACCAAGCGTGCGTGAGTGTGTTAGGTAGGAGTGAGTGGAGACGAATGCTATTTGGGACCTGATAAGCTGTTGGAGTGTGAGCAGAGCAATATTTAGTGGAGGGATTCAGGAGAACCAGCTGTTTTATATATTCGGACTTGAGTCCTGGAAAGGGTAGTACAACTCCTGCACTTTAAAGGAGAGGTTTAGGATATTGGCAGTTTGGAGGGATATGTTGTGTATCTTCATATGTATATACTTCTAAACTGTTGTATTCTTGGCACCTCTGCAAAAACAGTGATTATGTGTGAGTAAGGTGAAAGTGTTGAATGATGAAAGTATTTTCTTTTTAGGGATTTTCTTTCTTTTTGGGTCACCCTGCCTCAGTTGGAGACGGCCGACTTGTTAAAATAAAAAAAAAAGATGCCTTAATTTCTCAACCATCTTGTAGCAAAAACCTAATAGACTGCATCTTAATTGATGATCTACCGTATTTTAAATGAATTTCTTTGGTATTCTTTCAAAGAGCTAATGAATCTCAAAAAGTCGCAATGTACTGTGGCTGGGGTAATTCACAACTAACCCACAAATTAAAGATGAATCTTTAGATGACATTTCAGTCCATCTTGAGTCATGACTGATTAATAATTGTCCAAGATGGACCAAAATGTGGTCCAGTGACTTCATTTTTCTTTGGATGTATTGATGAAAGAAAGTCTTAGTGTTGCACAAAGAAATTTCTTGGATAATATAAGCATGACACACTTTTCCCAGGGTCCTTGGCAAGAAAAGGTGTCCCTAGCTAAGATGGCTGCTGCTTTGGAATGCTGCCGCAGCCTTCATCAGATAGGAGAATTGGATGACCAGTTGCAGCCTGTTGGGAAGGAGAGCATGAAACTTGATGACCATCTTTGTGCACCTCCAGCAGATGACCAAGTGCCAGAAGGAATGCCTCGCCCGGGAACAACCAAGAGACGTCAATATTACTACAAAAAGGTAATATGATGGCATATTCTGGTGTCTTACATTCCTTGTAATTACCTTACATGCATTCGTACTATATAACAGCAATGAAAATGTTTGAAAAAATTAGTATTAATAGCTTAAATTTTTTTTTTTTTTTCAACAAGTCGGCTGTCTCCCACTGAGGCAGGGTGACCCAAAAAGAAAGAAAAAAATCCCCAAAAAGAAAATACTTTAATCATCATTCAACACTTTCAACCTCACTCACACATAATCACTGTTTTTGGAGAGGTGCCCAGAATACGACAGCTCAGAAGCATATATGTATGAAGATACACAACATATCCCTCCAAACTACCAATATCCCGAACCCCTCCTTTGGAGTGCAGGCATTGTACTTCCCATTTCCAGGACTCAAGTCCGGCTATATAAAAATAACCGGTTTCCCTGAATCCCTTCTCTAAATATTACCCTGCTAACACTCCAACAGCTCATCAGGTCCCAAATACCATTTGTCTCCATTCACTCCTATCGAACACGTTCATGCACGCTTACTGGAAGTCCATGCCCCTCACCCACAAAACCTCCTTTACCCCTTCCTTCCAACCTTTTCAAGGACGACCCCTTACCTTCCTTCCTTCCCCTATAGATTTATATGCTCTCCATGTCATTCTACTTTGATCCATTCTCTCTAAATGACCAAACCACCTCAACAACCCCTCTTCAGCTCTCTGACTAATACTTTTATTAACTCCACACCTTCTCCTAATTTCCACACTCCAAATTTTCTGCATAATATTTACACCACACATTGCCATATAAAATTAAAAAAAATTTTCAGAATACTTGTGCAAATAAATTATCAAGTTGTGATTAGGCCATTGTTGCTTTTATATCTTAACATACCTGCCAGAGAGATTTCAGGTACTGTAGTTTTAGTTTTCCTAGCATCCAGTATTTAGGTGGTGTGTGTCTGTGTTGTTCCCTTTGGAATTAACTGTCTCTAACATGAGGGGGAGGATCTTTATATTTTAGCGTTACAGACTTCATCGTTTGGTTAATATAGGAGGCACAGAAAGTTTCAGGCACTACCCGACATGTCAGAGCCCATTCATATAGGGGCAAACAGACATTATGACAACAGAAGGCCATACAGGCAACACAGCAATTACTTTTTTGTATAATTTTAATTTAGAATATGTACTACTGTTAGATGGGTCTACCTCCTTCAGTTTGATATTTTTGCAGTTGATTCAGTATTGTATTTCGGTTTTAAATCTAGCTCTTAAGTAACATTGACAATAGTAAGGCTCTTTGGAAATAATTTTCATAAATCTAAAAATTGAAGATAAATCTTTAGACATTGTTTCAGAATGAAACATCTTAAGATTTGCTTCCAATTTGTGGGTGTGATCCTAATGGTTCCAACCACTGTACAGGTCTCCCTCAACATTCGCGAGGGTTAGGGGATCAAGAGCCTCACGAATGTTGAAAAATCACGAATGTTTGGTGCCCCAAAATATTGTAGGGAAATATAATACAATACTGCTTCCTTAACTTGTTGAACCATGAACAATCATAAAATACATGAAAACGTCGTAAATTGTACTAAATACATACATGTTATGGTTTAATAACATGTATGTTATTAAATACCACTGCCTCCACCACTTCCCCTAAACCCATGCGAGTCCCTACTACCCTCCCTCCGACCCCGCAATGCAGCCAGCCCCCCACCACTCAGTGTGGCGAGTGTTTTGTTTGTTCATTATTGCCTATTAAACTACAGTATAAATAATGAAAAACACATTCATGACTGCATATTGGAATGGTATTGTCAGTATTGACATGACATCATGTGTTTACTCTTAAACCAGCAAAGATAAACATTTCGGGCTACGGGTAATAATAACAATTAATAATAAAAATAATAATAAATGCGATAAAATTTGAAGGAAAATTTGGGTACAAAATAGGAGTGGTTGATACATGTCATATGGCTTTTTTTTATGCTGGAGTAGCATTGTCTCCGTGCTCTTCCAAACGTTTAAAATAATTACTGTGTTTAGGTGCTTGTAGATTGAGTGCGACATGAGTGGTAGAGGCTGGGTAGAGGCAGTGGTAGAGGCAGTGTAAGGCAGTGGTAGAGGCAGTGGTAGAGGCATGGTAGAGGCAGTGGTAGAGGCAGTGGTAGAGGCAGTGGTAGAGGCAGCGGTAGAGGCAGCGGTAGGCAGCGGTTGAGGCAGCGGTTGAGGCAGGGGTTTTTGAGGCAGCGGTTGAGGCAGCGGTTGAGGCAGCGGTTGAGGCAGCGGTTGAGGCAGCGGTTGAGGCAGCGTTGAGGCAGCGGCTGAGGCAGCGGCTGAGGCAGCGGCTGAGGCAGCGGCTGAGGCAGCGGCTGAGGCAGCGGCTGAGGCAGCGGCTGAGGCAGCGGCTGAGGCAGCGGCTGAGGCAGTGGTTTAGGCGCTGGTAGAGGCAGCAGTTTAGGCAGGGGTTGAGGCAGTGGTTGAAGCAATGGTGGAGGCAGCAGTTGAGGCAGTGGTATTTAATAACATGTTATAAATAATAATAATACATATTATTAACATTTATTATTATTATTAACATGTATGTTATTAAATACCACTGCCTCACCCACTGCCTCAACTGCTTCCTCAACCACTGCCTCAACTGCTGTCTCACCCACTGCCTCAACCGCTGCCTCAACCACTGCCTCACCTGCTGTCTCACCCACTGCCTCACCTGCTGTCTCACCCACTGCCTCACCTGCTGTCTCACCCACTGCCTCACCTGCTGTCTCACCCACTGCCTCACCCACTGCCTCAACTGCTTCCTCAACCACTGCTTCTACCACTCCAGTTGCACTCTATCTACAAGCACCAAACACAATGAATTATTGTGAAATGTTTGGAAGAGCACGGAGACTAATGCTCGCTCCAGCATAAACAAAGCCACACTGACGATGTGTCAACCACTCCCTCGCATTTTTGTACAATTTCCTTCTTCAATTCTATTGCATTTATTATTATTATTAGTAGTAGTAGGTTGGTAGACAGCAACCACCCAGGGAAGTACTACCGGCCTGCCAGATGACTGTGAAACAGAAACCTGTAACTGTTTTGCATGATGGTAGGATTGCTGGTTTCTTTTTCTGTCTCATAAACACACTAGATAACAGGGATATCTTGCTACTCCTACTTACACTTTGGTCACACTTCACAGACACGCACATGCATATATATATACATACATCTAGGTTTTTTCTCCTTTTTCTAAATAGCTCTTGTTCTTCTTTTATTTCTTCTATTGTCCATGGGGAAGTGGAAAAGAATCTTTCCTCCGTAAGCCATGCGGTCGTAGAGGCGCTAAAATGCCGGGAGCAATGGGCTAGTAACCCCTTCTCCTGTAGACATTTACTAAAAAAAAGAAGAAGAAAAAACTTGATAAAAAAAAGGATGCTTGAATGTGCCTGGATGTAGTGCGGATGACAAGAAACAGATGATTGCTGATGTTATGAATGAAAAGAAGTTGGATGTCCTGGCCCTAAGCGAAACAAAGCTGAAGGGGGTAGGGGAGTTTCGGGGGGAGAAATAAAATGGGATTTAAAATTTGGGGTATCTGAGAGAGTTAGAGCAAAGGAAGGGTAGCAGTAATGTTGAATGATCAGTTATGGAAGGAGAAAAGAGAAATGAATGTGTAATTCAAGAATTATGTGGATTAAAGTAAAGGTTGGATGCGAAAAGTGGGTCATAATAAGCGTGTATGCACTGGAGAAGAGAGGAATGTAGAGAGAGAGAGAGATTTTGGGAGATGTTAATGAATGTATAGGAGCCTTTGAACTAAGGGAGAGAGTAATTGTGGTAGGGGACCTGAATGCAAAGTAGGAGAAACTTTTAGAGAGGGTGGGTAGGTAAGTTGGAGTGCCAGGTGTAAATGATAATGGGAGCCCTTGATTGAACTTTGTATAGAAAGGGGTTTAGTTATAGGTAATACATATTTTAAGAAAAAGAGGATAAATAAGTATACAAGATATGATGTAGGGCGAATGACAGTAGCTTGTTGGATTATGTATTGGTAGATAAAAGACTGTTGAGTAGACTTCGGGATGTACATGTTTATAGAGGGGCCACAGATATATCAGATCACTTTCTAGTTGTAGCTACACTGAGAGAAAAAAGGTAGATGGGATACAAGGAGAATAAAAGCATCAGGGAAGAGAGAGGTGAAGGTTTATAAACTAAAAGAGGAGGCAGTTAGGATAAGATATAAACAGCTATTGGAGGATGATGGGCTAATGAAGCATAGGAAAATGGGGTCGAAGAGGTATGGGGTAGGTTTAAAAAGTAGTGTTAGTGTTCAGCAGAAGTTTGTGGTTACAGGAAAAATGGGTGCAGGAGTGAGAGGAGAGATTGGTGGAATGATGATGTAAAGAGAAATAGTAAGGGAGAAAAAGTTAGCGTATGAGAAGTTTTTACAAAGTAGAAGTGATGCAAGGAGGGAAGAGTATATGGAGAAAAAGGAGAGGTTAAGAGAGTGGTGAAGCAGTGTAAAAAGAGAGCAAAAAGAGAGAGTGGGTGAGATGTTATCAACAAATTTTTTTTGAAAATAAGAAAAAGTTTTGGAGTGAGAGATTAACAAGTAAGGAAGCCTAGAGAACAAATGGATTTGTTAGTTAAAAATAGGAGAGGGGGAGTTATTAAATGGAGAGTTAGAGGTATTGGGAAGATGGAGGGAATATTTTGGGAAATTGTTAAATGTTGATGAAGATAGGGAAGCTGTGATTTTGTGTATAGGGCAAGGAGGGATAACATCTTGTATGAGTGAGGAAGAGCCAGTTGTGAGTGTGGGGGAAGTTCGTGAGGCAGTAGGTAAAATGAAAGGGGGTAAGGCAACCGGGATTGATGGGATAAAGATGGAAATGTTAAAAGCAGGTGGGGATATAGTTTTGGAGTGGTTGGTGCAATTATTTAACCCTTTGACTGTCGCGGCCGTATATATACGTCTTACGAGGTACCATGTTTGACGTATATATACTCATAAATTCTAGCGGCTTCAAATCAAGCAGGAGAAAGCTGGTAGGCCCACATGTGAGAGAATGGGTCTGTGTGGTCAGTGTGCACCATATAAAAAAAATCCTGGAGCAAGCAGTGCATAATGAGAAAAAAAAAACTCAGACCGTTTTTTTTAATTAAAATGCCGACTTTGTGGTCTATTTTCGTATAGTATTTATGGTTGTATTCTCGTTTTCTTGGTCTCATTTGATAGAATGGAAAACATATAGAAATAGAGGTGATTTTGATTGATTTTACTAATAAAGGAACCTAGAAATGGAGCTCAAAATAGGGGAAATGTTTGATTTTTGCCAATGTTCAAAAGTAAACAAATGATGCCATTGTCCAATAAATGTCCAACTAGCCATTCTAATATGCAGTCATGGATGGGTTGATGTTATTTATACAATTATTACAGTATTGCAGTAGTCTGCATAATAGTAAGTCTTCTATTTTTTGTCTGAATAAAAATTCAAAATAGAAAGCAAGAGTAATATCAGAGGAGCCTGGAGACATGACTGATGAGCAAAGAAAATGTTATTTTAGAGCCAGGAGTGTCTGCATTGTTCATTCTGGACCTTATTTTGAAATTGTCATGTATTTTAGTTTTCGTGAAATTGGCCAAATTGCAAATTTCTGACCATAATATTAGGTAGTTGAAATCGGTAAATGGGCAGTTTCTTGTACTCAATCGATAGAAAAAATGGAGTTCTAAAGAAATAGCTATGAGTTTGGGCAACTGGAACAATGGAATTAGCCGAAAATAGGGCTCAAATTGGGCGAAATCGCCGATTTGTAAACAGCGCCAAGGTCGCTAACTTCGCGAGAGCATAATACCGTCAGTTTTCCATCAAATTTCGTTTTTTTGGTGTCATTACAATCGGGAAAAGATTCTCTATCATTTCATAAGAATTTTTTTTTTTTTTTTTTTTTTTTTTTTTTTTAAATTTTGCGACACCAGGAGACACCTCAGGATTGGGGGTTGCTACAGTCAAAGGGTTAATAAATGTATGGAAGAGGGTAAGGTACTTAGGGATTGGCAGAGAGCATGCATAGTTCCTTTCTATAAAGGCAAAGGGGACAAAAGAGAGTGCAAAAATTATAGGGGGATAAGTCTGTTGAGTATACCTGGTAAAGTGTATGGTAGAGTTATTATTGAAAGAATTAAGAGTAAGACGAAGAATAGGATAGCAGATGAACAAGGAGGCTTTAGAAAAGGTAGGGGGTGTGTGGACCAGGTGTTTACAGTGAAACATATAAGTGAACAGTATTTAGATAAGGCTAAAGAGGTCTTTGTGGCATTTATGGATTTGGAAAAGGCATATGACAGGGTGGATAGGGGGGCAATGTGGCAGGTGTTGCAGGTGTATGGTGTAGGAGGTAGGTTACTGAAAGCAGTGAAAAGTTTTTACGAGGATAGTGAGGCTCAAGTTAGAGTATGTAGGAACGAGGGAAATTATTTCCCAGTAAAAGTAGGCCTTAGACAAGGATGTGTGATGTCACCATGGTTGTTTAATATATTTATAGATGGGGTTGTAAGAGAAGTAAATGCGAGGGTCTTGGCAAGAGGCGTGGAGTTAAAAGATAAAGAATCACACATAAAGTGGGAGTTGTCACAGTTGCTCTTTGCTGATGACACTGTGCTCTTGGGAGATTCTGAAGAGAAGTTGCAGAGATTGGTGGATGAATTTGGTAGGGTGTGCCAAAGAAGAAAATTAAAAGTGAATACAGGAAAGAGTAAGGTTATGAGGATAACAAAAAGATTAGGTGATGAAAGATTGGATATCAGATTGGAGGGAGAGAGTATGGAGGAGGTGAATGTATTCAGATATTTGGGAGTGGACGTGTCAGTGGATGGGTCTATGAAAGATGAGGTGAATCATAGAATTGATGAGGGGAAAAGGGTGAGTGGTGCACTTAGGAGTCTGTGGAGACAAAGAACTTTGTCCTTGGAGGCAAAGAGGGGAATGTATGAGAGTATAGTTTTACCAACGCTCTTATATGGGTGTGAAGCATGGGTGATGAATGTTGCAGCGAGGAGAAGGCTGGAGGCAGTGGAGATGTCATGTCTGAGGGCAATGTGTGGTGTGAATATAATGCAGAGAATTCGTAGTTTGGAAGTTAGGAGGAGGTGCGGGATTACCAAAACTGTTGTCCAGAGGGCTGAGGAAGGGTTGTTGAGGTGGTTCGGACATGTAGAGAGAATGGAGCGAAACAGAGTGACTTCAAGAGTGTATCAGTCTGTAGTGGAAGGAAGGCGGGGTAGGGGTCGGCCTAGGAAAGGTTGGAGGGAGGTTTTGTGTGTGAGGGGCTTGGACTTCCAGCAGGCATGTGTGAGCGTGTTTGATAGGAGTGAATGGAGACAAATGGTTTTTAATACTTGACGTGCTGTTGGAGTGTGAGCAAAGTAACATTTATGAAGGGGTTCAGGGAAACCGGCAGGCCGGACTTGAGTCCTGGAGATGGGAAGTACAGTGCCTGCACTCTGAAGGAGGGGTGTTAATGTTGCAGTTTAAAAACTGTAGTGTAAAGCACCCTTCTGGCAAGACAGTGATGGAGTGAATGATGGTGAAAGTTTTTCTTTTTCGGGCCACCCTGCCTTAGTGGGAATCGGCCGGTGTGATAATAAAAAAAAAATTATTATTATTATTATTATTACTATTGTTATTAGCAGTAGCAGAAATGTTTGATTCTTTGCTGTGTTCAAGAGTAAACACATGATGTCACCGTCCAATACCTGTCCAAATAGCCATTCCAATATGCAGTCATGAATGGGTTTACATTACACGTATTTATACTGTAGTTTAATAGCAAATAATGAACAAGCAGCACTCGCCACACTGGTGGGAGGGCTGGCTGCCAGTTGAGGGGGTCGGAGGGAGGGTAGTAGGGACTCACAGGTGGCGGGAAACTTGAATATGATTTGGCGGATGGGAATTTGGAGACTGGGAATTTGGCAGTTGGGAATTCGCGAATGTGTGAAGCCCGCGAAAGTTGAAAATGCGAATGTTGAGGGAGACCTGTATTGTGATTTTCATTTTTCTTTTCTCAAACAACTTAGTTTTCAGAAAACTCCATTTCATGCTTTTATGAATTGGTGGAAGCATGCATAAACTGTTAACATAAAATTTCAGGTAGCAGAATGCTTGACAGGAGAGCAGCCAAAAGAGAAGCTGGATTTGTTTGTTTACAAGTTAGACATGGTGCTGACCTGCCCCATACCTGATGAGCAAAACACACGTGGCCGTAAGATCTATCGTCCAGAAAAGTCCACACGTTCGTTTGGTATTGTCACAACTAAACCTATATCACAGGTAATAATTATATGTCTGGCATCATAGTTTCATCTTAGTTCATCTTAATACAGTCACTCCTCACTTAACAATGTGCTTGTTTACCAACTGCTCGGAGTTACAACCAGCTCTCTGACCAATATGCAAACCTAAGCAATGTAAATTAGAGCTGATTTCCTCTATTCTGTTTATTACAGTACAGCCTCTCCTCGCTAAATGACTGAGTTCCATTCCTATGACCACGTCGGTAAACAAATTCGTCGCTAAGTGAGGGGCATACTATAATGGTAGTGGATTTGTGTCAACCACCTTTGATATTGTTGTAATGTCAACTTTGTACCATTTATAACATTTCTGGTATATTTTTAAATGTTTATACAGTAGTGTACTGTATACAGTAGGGCCCCCACTTATACGGCAGGTTAGGTTCCGGACTACAACTGGAAAGAGGACATCGCAGGAAAGCACAACACCATTTTTTCCCACTTATAAATGCATATAAATGCCAATTAACAAGTTTAAATTAACATATATGAAGTTAGCAATAGAACTAGGCATTAAAAACAATAAAAAGTAAAATACACACACAACACTCATTACTCACCTTAAAATATTTGTAGTCTTAATATAAGGTGAGAGATGAGTAAATGAGGTAACATGAATAAACAAGAGAGAGAGAGAACAAGTAAATGAGAGAAGAGAGACACGCGGAGAATGTAAAAAAGCATACGAATGCATCAGGTTTTGGTTCATACACATTCATCTACACATGACATCTCATTTTTTTTTTTTTTTCAACAAACCGACCACATCCCACCAAGGCAGAGTGGCCCAAAAAGAAAAACAAGTTTCTCTTTTTAAATTTAGTAATTTATACAGGAGAAGGGGTTACTAGCCCCTTGCTCCTGGCATTTTAGTCACCTCTTACAACACGCATGGCTTACGGAGGAAGAATTCTTTTCCACTTCCTCTTGGAGATAAGAGGAAATAAACAGGAACAAGAACTAGAAAGAAAAATAGAAGAAAACCCAGAGTGGTGTGTATATGCTTGTACATGTATGTGTAGTGTGACCTAAGTGCAAGTAGAAGTAGCAAGACGTACCTGTAATCTTGCATATTTATGAGACAGACCAAAAACACCAGCAATCCTACCATCATGTAAAACAATTACAGGTTTTTGTTTTACACTCGCTTGGCAGGACGGTAGTACCTGCCTGGGTGGTTGCTGTCTACCAACCTACTACCTACAATGACATCTCATATTTATGTTAATTTATTCTACTGTGGTGCTGTATTTATCATGTTTATATATTGCATAGCATGTATATTTTATAATTTTTAAAAAATATCATAGATGGAATAATGAAAATATTTATATTAATGTAATACACTATACGACATTTAATTCGCCCCAGTGATTATTATTGCGTATTATTATTATCATTATTAATATGGTATCCTCCAGACTAAGACACTCTTAATGTGTACCTGCATGCCAGCATAGTGTATAACTTTATTTAGGTACAGGTACACTTTTTTTTTTTTTTTTTTTTTCAACAAGTTGGCCATCTCCCACCGAGGCAGGGTGACCCAAAGAGAAAGAAAATCTCCAAACAGAAAATACTTTCATCATCATTCAACACTTTCACCTCACTCACACATAATCACTGTTTTTGCAGAGGTGACCAGAATACACCAGTTTAGAAGTATATACGTATAAAAGTACACAATATATCTCTCCAGACTGCCAGTATAATTATCAGAGTACTGTGTATATAAAACATGAAAGACCCATTCACTTACTGACCTACTCTTATGAACGGAACTCAGCCGTTAAGTGAGGACAGGCTGTATAGTGTTTATAGAAAACAAAAAATAAATAAAATTTTAAATTTATCCTTACCAGGTTAGCGGTTTTCCAGTGTTCACTCGCTCAGGTGAAGTGGTTGTCCATGTCCGTGAGACTGGGAGAAGGGAGCAATTTACCCAGGATCAGCTAGCAGCTCTGCAGTGCTTTCATAAGTTTACCTTTACTCATGTGTTGCGTCTGGAGAAATATCCTATAAAGTTTGACCCCACAAATGCAAGAACAGCCTTCTACATTGTTCCACTTAACAAATGTAAGTTTTAATTAACGGACCTTTTGTTACTCATTCTTATTTTAGTATACTATACAGTAGGGCTCCGACTTAGGATGTTCTGTTAATAGTATGTAGGTAGAGACTATTACTAGATGTGAATGGTTAGCTTGATTCACTTTGAAAGGTCATTGATGCCGACCTCTGAAGTTCAAAACTCTAGGCTCGCCATGGCTTGCCATAGGATGTGGGTGGTTGCCTCCAAAGTGCCAAGCTTCATAAACAGTATGTTCTACTTCATAAGCATAATATTTATTGGAGAGTAATACAGTGGACCCCCGGTTAACGATATTTTTTCACTCCAGAAGTATGTTCAGGTGCCAGTACTGACCAAATTTGTTCCCATAAGAAATATTGTGAAGTAGATTAGTCCATTTCAGACCCCCAAACATACACGTACAAACGCACTTACATAAATACGCTTACATAATTGGTCGCATTCGGAGGTAATCGTTATGCGGGGGTCCACTGTACAAATTTAACGAAATAAGTAAATATTTATATGAACTAGTTATCAGTGGTGGGTCCCCTGATGCTATATCATGTTATGGTTGTAATGAGGGTTTGAGTGACCTGAGTGCTTGTTAGGTAAGACATATATGTAACAATTAGGTATCTATATTTTGAAACGTTTCGCCTACACAGAAAGCTTATTCAGTCGAGTACAGAAAAGTTGGTAGAAGCAGAAGGGGTGTGAAGACGATGTAGTCACTCCATCACCCTTGAAGACGTAGTTTTGAAATAGATAACTAATTGCTGCATATGTATCTTACCTAATAACCTGTTGATATTTTAATATTCATCTGAGTACTTGTCTAAGAGCCCAGTAACTCATTTATAGGCCTTAGTAGTGGGAAAATTTTCTCTATCTACAAATTTTGTTGTGACTTAGTCTGTGACCTGTAATGAACTATGGATATTATTTGAAGTGTAACTGAGAGTCGAATTGTTTTAGTATATTGCGATTGTGATATCTAATGTAACAGTAAATTTGTCATAGTAGCAGCAAATTTGTGTTGATAGTAATACATTGTTAAGATTGTTGAAAACTGGTAGTGAAGGCATTGAATTGCTAAAAATCTTAGCATTTTTTATATTAAAAAAACAAATAACTTGCTGTTGTAATTCTTCATAGCTCATGCAACTCACTTCAATCCAGTGCCTACACCCCACTCCAAAAAAAGAAGAAAAAAAAAAACATTCAAAGTTTAAGTATCATACTAGATGAGTACTGTACTCCCCCCCCCCCATCCTCCCAGTAAGTCGGCCGTCTCCCACTGAGGCAGGGTGACCCAAAAAGAAAGAAAATCTCCAAAAAGAAAATACTTTCATCATCATTCAACATTTTCACCTCACTCTCACATAATCACTACTGTACATCTACTGTAAGAAATACATATACATTGTCATTTTGAGGACATGGCAGTGGCCAGTTCTCACCTCAGTTAGTCATCCTCCTTGTCCTTTTCCTAGGGAAGAGATAATATTTCCTGAATGCTCATTGCAACCCTGTATTTGTCATTTCATTGTCTTTTGACAGGTAATACTTGGAATAAGAATACTACAGACTGCTCAAGTAATACATATTAAAAAAAATATATATATATATATCTATATATATATATTTTTTTAATAAGTTGACTGTCTCCCACTGAGGCAGGGTGATCCAAAAAAAGAAAAAAACATTCATTCATCACTTTCACCAACATTCACACACAATCACTACCTTTGCAGAGGCGTCCAGATACGACAGTTTAGATGTCATTCCAAACAGCCAATATCCCAAACCCTTCCTTTAACCCTTTCACTGTTGGTCCCATAATATTACAGCTTGCAAGCCAGTGTTGGCCCCTTAATACTACTACAAAATTCTAGTGCCTTCATAGCTGGTAGGCCTACGTGTGACAGAATGGGTCTGTGTGGTCAGTGTGCGCAGTATAAAAACAAAATCCTGCCGCTCGCAGTGCATAATGAGAAAAAAAAACTCCAACCATGTTTTTGGTTTAAAACATTGACTTTTATATTACAGAAATAGAGATAATTTTGATTGGTTTCACAAATTAAAGTACCTTGAAATTGAGCTCAGAGTAGCAGAAATGTTCGATTTCTGCTAATGATTGAGAGTAAACAATCATTAGCAGACTGTTTACTCTCTGCTAATGAGACGTCACTGTCGAATACGTGTTCAACTGGCCAGTCTAATATGCAGTCACAAATGGGTTGACATTATTTATATAATTATTACTATAATGCAGTAGTCTGCTTAACAGTAAATCTTCTATTTATTGTGTGAATAAAAATTCAAAATGGAAAGCAAGAGTAATATAAGAGTGGCCTGGAGACGTGACTAATGAACAGAGAAAATGTTATTTTAGTGCCAGTAATGTCTGCATTGTTTATTCTGGACCCTATTTTGAAATTTGTTTGAAATTGGCCAAATTGCCAATTTCTGAAGACTTTATTGGGTAGTTGAAATTGGTAAATGGGTGGTTTCTTGTACTTTATCGATAGAACAAATGGAGTTCTAGGGAAATAGGTATGAGTTTGGTCAACTGGAACAATGGAATTGGCTGAAAATAGGACTCAAAGTGGGCGAAATCACCAATGCATATATATATCGCCAAGACCACTAACTTCACAAGAGCATACAGGTCTCCCTCAACATTCGGGAGGGTTAGGGGATCAAGAACCTCGCGAATGTTGAAAAATCATGAATGCTTGGTGCCCCAATACAGTGGACCCTCGCCTAACGAATGCATCGCATAATGTTAAATCCACCTAGCGATACATTTTAACGCAAAAATTTTGCCTCGGCTAGCGCTAAAAAGCTCGCTCAACGCGATTCGTTCGAGACGCGTCCACGTGCGGCCTGAGCCCGCCTCACTTGTTCCGTGGGTGCCAGTGTTTACAAGCCAGCCACCGCGGTCGCTTCCAAGCATACAATCAGAACATTTCATATTATCACAGCCTTTTTAGTGATTGCACCTGCAAAATAAGTCACCATGGGCCCCAAGAAAGCTTCTAGTGCCAACCCTACAGGAAAAAGGGTGAGAATTACTATGGATATGAAGAAAGAGATCATTGCTAAGTATGAAAGTGGAGTGCATGTCTCCGAGCTGGCCAGGTTGTACACAAAGCCCCAATCAACCATCACTACTATTGTGTCCAAGAAAACAGCAATCAAGGAAGCTGTTCTTGCCAAAGGTGCAACTTTGTTTTCGAAACAGAGATCGCAAGTGATAGAAGATGTTGAGAGACTGTTATTGGTGTGGATAAATGAAAAACAGATAGCAGGAGATAGCATCTCTCAAGCGATTATATGTGAAAAGGCTAGGAAGTTGCATGAGGATTTAATTAGAAAAATGCCTGCAACTAGTGGTGATGTGAGTGAATTTAAGGCCAGCAAAGGTTGGTTTGAGAGATTTAAGAATTGTAGTGGCATACATACTGTGATAAGGCATGGTGAGCCTGCCAGTTCGGACCACAAAGCAGCTGAAAAATATGTGCAGGAATTCAAGGAGTACATAGACAGTGAAGGACTGAAACCTGAACAAGTGTTTAATTGTGACAAAACAGGCCTGTTTTGGAAGAAAATGCCAAGCAGGACCTACATTGCTCAGGAGGAAAAGGCACTCCCAGGACATTAGCCTATGAAAGACAGGCTTACTCTGTTGTTGTGTGCTAATGCTAGTGGTGATTGCAAAGTGAAGCCTTTATTGGTGTATCACTCTGAAACTCCCAGTGTGTTCAGGAAAAACAATGTCCTCAAGGCTAATTTGTATGTGCTGTGGAGGGCAAACAGTAAGGCATGGGTCACTAGGGACTTTTTCTATGACTGGTTACACCATGCATTTGCCCCCACTGTGAAAAATTACCTAATTGAAAAGAAATTAGACCTTAAGTGCCTCCTGGTATTAGACAATGCTCCTGATCATCCTTCAGACGTGGCAGAGCGACTTTCTGCGGAAATGAGCTTCATTAAGGTCAAGTTTTTGCCTCCTAATACCACTCCTCTCCTGCAGCCCATGGACCAGCAGGTCATTTCCAACTTCAAGAAACTGTACACAAAAGCTATGTTTGAAAGGTGCTTTGTAGTGACCTCAGAAACTCAATTGACTCTCTTAGAGTTTTGGAGAGATCACTTTAGCATCCTCAATTGTGTAAACATTATAGGTAAGGCTTGGGAGGAAGTGACTAAGAGGACCTTGAACTCTGCTTGGAAGAAACTGTGGCCAGAATGTGTAGACAAAAGGGATTTTGAAGGGTTTGAGGCTAACCCTGGGAATCCTATGCCAGTTGAGGAATCCATTGTGGCATTGGGGAAGTCCTTGGGTTTGGAGGTTAGTGGGGAGGATGTGGAAGAGTTGGTGGAGGAGGACAATGACGAACTAACCACTGATGAGCTGCTGGATCATCTTCAACAGCAAGAGGCCAGACCTGAGGAAACTGCTCCGGAGGAGGGGATAGAGAAATTGAAGAAGTTGTCTACTTCAAAGATTAAGGAAATGTGTGCAATGTGGCTTAAAGTGCAAACCTTTTTTGATGAAAATCACCCTCACACAGCTATTGCAAGCCATGCTGGTGACTATTACACTGACAATGTTGTGAAACACTTTAGGAATGTCATAAAGGAACGGGAGGTACAGGCCTCTATGGACAGATATGTTGTGCGACAGAGGTCCAGTGACTCTCAAGCTGGTCCTAGTGGCATTAAAAGAAGAAGGAAGTAACCCCGGAAAAGGACTTGCCACCTCAAGTCCTAATGGAAGGGGATTCCCCTTCTAAACATTAACACCATCCACAGTCTCCCCTCCTCCCATCCCATCAATCATCACCAGATCTTCAATAAAGGTAAGTGTCATGTAACTGTGCATGTCTTCTTCAGTTTGTGTGTATTAAAATTAATATTTCATGTGGTAAAAAAAAATTTTTGTTCATACTTTGGGGTGTCAGGAATGGATTAATTTGATTTCTATTATTTCTTATGGTTTTTCTTCTTCTCTTTTTTAGTAAATGTGTATGGTGTAGGAGGTAGGTTACTGAAAGCAGTGAAGAGTTTTTACGAGGATAGTGAGGCTCAAGTTAGAGTATGTGGGAAAGAGGGAAATTATTTCCCAGTAAAAGTAGGCCTTAGACAAGGATGTGTGATGTCACCGTGGTTGTTTAATATATTTATAGATGGGGTTGTAAGAGAAGTAAATGCGAGGGTCTTGGCAAGAGGCGTGGAGTTAAAAGATAAAGAATCACACACAAAGTGGGAGTTGTCACAGTTGCTCTTTGCTGATGACACTGTGCTCTTGGGAGATTCTGAAGAGAAGTTGCAGAGATTGGTGGATGAATTTGGTAGGGTGTGCAAAAGAAGAAAATTGGAAGTGAATACAGGAAAGAGTAAGGTTATGAGGATAACAAAAAGATTAGGTGATGAAAGATTGGATATAAGATTGGAGGGAGAGAGTACTGGAGTTCTGCAGGGAAGTGTCCTTGGACCCCTGCTCTTCCTCATTTACATCAGTGATCTTCCAAACATATCCCAACACCTGAAACCCATTCTCTTTGCTGATGACACGACTTACGTCATCTCCCACCCTAATCTTGCCACCCTCAACACCATTGTTAACGAGGAGCTGCTCAAAATTTCGACTTGGATGACAGCCAATAAACTTACACTTAACACTGGCAAAACCTACTATATTATGTTTGGTAGCAGAGCAGGTGTTGCGCAACTTAACATTAAGATTGACAACACTCTAATTGCCAGACATAATGAGGGCAAATTCCTTGGCCTATACCTCGACAACAACCTAAATTTCAGCACCCATATCCAACACATAACAAAAAAGTATCCAAAACGGTGGGGATCCTCTCCAAGATACGATATTACGTGCCGCAAACTGCCCTTCTCACACTATACCATTCACTTATACAGTGGACCCCCGCATAACGATGGCATCACATAGCGATTATTTCGCATACCGCTTACTTTAATTGCAAAAATTTTGCCTTCACATCCGTTTAAAATTTTATACAATGTATGTTGTAGGATAGGTATGAAGCGTGAAGAGTTTTACCGCCGGATGGCATTGTTACCAGCAGCTCCGGGATAAGAGCAATTATACAATCGAATATTTCGTCATTAGCAAGGATTTGGTGCTGTTCTGGTTTAATATATTATAGATGGGCTGTAAGAGAAGTAAATGCAGGCTCTGTGGTAAAGGAGTTAAAAAGTATGAAATCACAAAAAGTTTGAAGGTTGGGGTACCAGTTGCCTTTGCTGTGACACGTGCTCTTGGGAATTCTGAAAAAGTTAAGAAGATTGTGTGGATGGTTTGGAACTGGCAAACTTAGAGAAAATTGGAAGCTGAACAGAAAGTGTAAGGTTATGAGGATAACAAAAATTGTGATGAAGATTGGTATAAATTGAGGGAGAGTAATACTGGAGTCAGGAAGTCCTTGGACACCTGCTTGTCACTATTCCAGTGATCTTCCAACATATCCCAACGCTTAAACCCATTCCTTGTCGAAAACGGACTTAGCTACTCCCACCCTATCTTGGCCACGAACCACCATTGTAACGAGGAAGCTGTAAAATTTTCGACTGGATACCACCAATCAACTCACTACATGGCAAAAAACTAAATTATGTAATGGTAGCAGAGCTTTTCAATTTATTAAGATTACAACACTCTAATTGCCAGACATAATGAGGTTTTTATTCCTTTGGCCTATACCTGCACAACTAAATTTTCATCCCATATTCAAAATAACAGAAAAGTATCCAATAACAGTGGGGATCCTCTCCAAGATACGATATTACGCCGCAAACTGCCCTTCTCAACACTATACCATCACTTATATATCCTACCTCACCTGTGCTATCTGTGCTTGGGGTTCAACTGCAGCAACACACCTAAAGCCAATAATAACCCAACAAAAACCTGCAGTAAGAATAATCACTAAATCCCATCCCTGGCAACCCCCCCCCCCCCCCCACTCTTCATAGATCTAAACTTACTCTCTGTTCAGAACATCCACACTTACTACTGTGCAATCTATATCTACAGGACCTTAAATTCCAATATTAACCTTGACCTAAAACGCTTTCTTGATAGTTGACAGGATCCACAGGCGTAACACCAGACACAAACATCTCTATGACATTCCCCGTGTTCGACTAAACCTTTACAAAAATTCAATGTATTTCAAAGGACCTAAAATCTGGAACACCCTACCTGAAAACTCTAGAACTGCAGACACATTCATCACTTTCAAAACTACAGTTAGAAAACATCTTATCTCCCTGATACACCCCGACAACTAACTACATGATAACCACCTGGTGGTTCACAATTACACTCACTCACCCACTGACTATAAACCCAGAAATACTAATCTTAATCTTAAAATAATAAATCCTAACTAGTCATAAGTTTGCCTATGATACTCCAATATAGACAATTTGTATTTTGCCAAAACAAAAGTATTCACATTGCTAAACTCACAAATTATGATGTAGTCACTTAGCCTTAATACCATAATCTGTAAGGATTTAATGTTAAGAATTAATCTAAGTCTGCCCGAAATGCCTAGCCATGCTAGGTGTCGTAGTGGCCCCTCTCTGTAATTAGTATTTTATAACATGTAAACTACACAATACCCAAAACCTTTAAACCCCACATTGTAACCCTTACAGAGAATAAACTTAAATTGAATTGTACTTCCCACCTCCAGAACTCGAGTCCAGCTAACAGGTTTTCCTGAATCCCTCCACAAAATATTACCCTTCTCACGCTCCAACAGCTCTTAAGGTCCCAAAAACCACTTGTCTCCATTCACTCCCATCTCTTTTTACACATACTGCAAAGTATTTTTTCTGATGCAGTTGAAGGACGTGAAGACATTGACTGGGAGTTTGTTACAAAAATTCAGCTAGAAGGAGATCCAAGGCCAGTTCCTCCCCTTGATGATACAAGAAAGAAATTCCAGTTTCAGCATTGCCTATATGAAGATGCTGTTGTAATGCCCTGGTATAGGAATCAAGACCAGCCTCAGGTATAGAGTTCATTATTTTGTCATTCTTAATTTATGTACTGAATACAGTTTTCTGTGAAGCTAAGAGTATCTAGTATTGTATATGGAAGAGAATGTCCATGAACCCTACTAAGAGTATATTTTCTTCTTTAATTTTATTT